TTACAAAATAATTTTACTTCTGCTCATGTTTATTGAACTTCAAATTTAAATTAATATACTATAATATATATATTAGTTGATATTAAAATAGTATTACTATACATACATATTATTATTAATAATGTTGTTGCATATTAATGAAATAATATAAGAATCAATCAGAGCGGAACAATTTACTTTTGATCCATTGGAAGTTTTCTTTGATGTCTATGATAAATTGCCTTAAAATCAATCCTAATTGGGTTAAAACTGACAAACCAATAAAGCTTAACATGGCCCATCCAATATTGGTCCTAGTTTTAGAGGAATACTTTTATTCTTTGTCATCGAATGCTAAAACGACACAAAGAACTAATACAAAAAATATAGTTGCATCTGGGACTGCGTTTTAAATATAGTCAACCTTACTCTCAAAAGGATTCTTGTAAAGTAGCAACATCACATTTAAAAAGCTAGCAGCACAACAAAATGATGTTTAAAAGAGTGGATAATGGTACAAGCCAACTAAAAATACAATAAACAACATCTTCCTTGCAAAACTAATACTGAAGTACATCTTTGATATATCAGATTTGACATCTATTCCTTCATACAAAGTACTATAATCAAATTGATATGATTTTGTATTCAATAACAAACTCGATTACTTAGACACTTTTATTGCAATGAGAAATATAGATATACAAATAAACAATCCAATAAATGATAGGAAAATTTAGGAGAAAATTAGTGGCTAATCACTTTTGTCCATAAATTGCAACTGCAAAACACTTGCCATACACAAATCCAAATAAACCAAATTTAACTATTTAATGATGATGGCTCTGAAACTGATCTAGTACTCATATGCATTATTATAAAGATATTGAACTATTGATGGAAACTGTTTAGGCTCTTCTACTTTTATTTCAGTTTCTGGTTATTGGGATTCTAAGTTTTAATCTAAATGAAACACTGGCATCTGTTTAACCTTAACAGTCCTAATCTTTTGTTTAGGACTCCTTTGATAAATCCTTTCGATTATGAAAACAGTGCATTTGCAGATGGGAAAAAGACCAACGCATAGGAGCCAAGTAACAAAGCACATCATCATGTTATTAAGGAAATATGGGTCAACTCCCTTTTGTTCAAATCTGAAAGGACTTTCAATATAATCCTTATCGGTTTCCATTCTGACAATGGGAGTAAAATCAAATGGGTTGATTAATTCCCATGCAGGATTTAAAAATATGATATTAACATTAGCTGGATACATAACGTTGAAATAATAGAAATTATTTAACCAAGCCAAAATATCCAAGATGCTAAAGAAAAAGTTAAAACCACCTAATAGAATAGTTCCTGGACCCAAAAAGTAAAGGGCTGAAACAAAATTGCTTTGTAATTGTTACACTTATTGTGCTTATTGCTCTTCCTCATCATCATAGAATGTTTCACTTCTCGCTTAAATTATCATTTCTTCAAAATCCACAGATAATAACCTTTATTTATTTTTATAAAATATCACATGGATTACATCATAATCTCTAACATTTCTATAAAATTTGAATGAAATTTGACAGTATTTCATAGAATCTTCTTCTTTTAGATTTAAGAAAACCTTAAAGTCTTTTGGATCAAAATTTTCTAGATAGACTTTGACATACTTCTCATCACATTTAGCAGGATACTCACCAAAGTCTAATTTGAGAGTGTTAGTAGTAGTTTTATTAGAGTATTTTAATTCCAAATTGTTTTATAATTAAACAACTGAACATATTCCATTTGAACATGAAAATCCAGTTTCAATGGTACATTTCGAAGAGCAACCATCCCCATCAATTAGGTTTCCATCGTCACATTGCTCTTCTGTAGTCTATCGATAATCTCCACATTTGGATTGACACTTTCCATTAACTTCATAGTAACCTTTTTCAGTCTCACATTATGAACATTTACCATTTAATGGAATGATAGTAGGTACAGTACATTTAGTGCATTAATCTATGTAATTGCATTCCAAACATTCAGATTTACATTGGAAACATCCATTCTAATAAAAGAAATAGCCAGGCTGACATTATAAGCATTATAATTTATTTTAATTTTGTTTACAATCCATACAATTAAGAGGACATTTAATACAAATTGATTATTTGCCTATCTGATTTACACATGACCAACCTTCATCCATAATACAATTAGAACATCCATCTCTAATATTATAATTGCCATCATTGCATTCTTATCCTATCTAATACCCTTTCGATACATCACAAGCTATTTCTTTGGATGATAAATCAAAGCAATCTTCTTAAAATGGTCCTAAACATCCAGAACACTTCTCAAAACACTTTTAGCAAGTATTCTACTCATCCAAATAATAACCTTTGCTACAATAGCAGGATTATCCAGATTATGTATAGTCAGATGAACATAAGGTGCAATAGTTCTATTGAATACAGGAACTACATTGTGAGTCACAAGGAGTGCATGAATCATTATAGAAATATGTAGACAATTGACAAAGATTTGATTACTTATCGTAATTTGGATCATATGACCATTGTAAACATTCATCGATTCTTGATCCTGTACATGCAGTACAAGTAGGATAACAATAATCAATGACTATTCTCATATTTGAGATTCCTGATTTAAAGTATTGAGAGAAACCCTATGAAATGATTTGAAGTTTCAAATATTTTGAAGAGTGAGCAAATTCGAAATTAACTGTAGTTGTTTAATACAACCTAGCAGGATCTGTACTAACTGTTTATGAATAATTTCCTAGATTTATACTCAAATATCCTTTAGATTGTTTAATATTTATTAAGTCCACTTTGAAAGCAGCCCTAATTTAATAATGGGGTTTCAAATATTAAAATTTTTGGTTGTATCTTGTAGTTGAAACCTATAGACCTCCCAAATGACGATATCCATTAAAGTAACTAGTGACATTAGGCATAGTTCCATGAAGTTTAGTTAAAATTAATTCGTTCAATAAGTATTCGGAGTCTAAAATTTAATTAGTATTATACATTAAGTTTCCTCATCCATTTCCAGACATTTGTTATCCTTTTAAACAGTGTAAGAGAGAGGACAAGTAACTACACATTATTGTTTGAGTAAAAAATACCCAGTTTCACATGAAACACAAACCTAATCATTCAAACATTTTGCACAATTTTCAGTACATCTCAAAGCATCAATGAAAAAATCAGATATAGCCCATCTTGAAGTACTCTATTTATAGGTATCACTATATATTTATATTTTTAGATTATCACTTGTGTGATTAAGATAGTAATCAACAAGGAAAACTTAACATTCATTTATCTCTTAATTTGTACATGAATCATTGTTTGCATAATTGATGAATCCATCCTTTCTATATAATAATGGTTTTTGTCTGACTTCATCAATGATTGTTATGATATATTCATTAACAGCCCACGTGTAAAATAAATATAAATTAAATCTTACTCTTATTCTATGATGTCCTACCAAGCTATACTAGTTAATTGTGAGGGTCTGTCTCTCCTCAAATTTACCAATTAAATAACTATCTTTATGTCTAAATAGTAATTGATCCTTTGTTGTACGTGTCAGAGTAATTGACCACAAGGATGATTTATTATTTTGTCCATGATCAAAAGAGTTTAATAAGGAACTCTCCAAGTTTTTTATCAAGGAACTTCCAAAACATATTTTGTATTCGTTTAAAAATGTGTTCTTGGGACAATATGCAATACAACTATCAGCATATATGTATGGAGTTGAAATAGGACACTTACATGTATTGGATACTTTGCCTTTTTTAGCAAGTTAAGGACATGTTCTACAATCGTTTTCGGTTGGGCCACTGCAACTAGAGCATAATGGATGACATTCCAGTGCATTAACTTAAATGTTTCGGATTCCAAGTTTAGGTAAAGAAGTGACACTAGTCGAAGTATTAGTCGTCCCTTAATTTAAATATTTTACCTGGAATTTCAATTCCAGATACTAATCTATATGATAAAACTCAATCTCCCTGGTCATATATTTTTAAGGATCTGATCTAAAATGAATAACTAATATTTATACTCCCTACAAATAAATCCTTAATCAGATTTATCACTCCATATGTATGTATATTCATCAATTTTATTGTTATTAAGTAGTACTTCTATTGTGTCACCTTACCAATATTCCAAAAACATGTAATCTATATAAAGACGTATAAAATAATGAGCTTTTTCAATTGGGGTCTTAAGAGAGACTGAAGGATTTTGTTGATCTAAAATCACCATGTCGTAATTTAGAACCGAACAAGCCTGTGTTTTTGGCATTGGTGTAAATTCACTCAAGTCAGATAGATCACGAAGTATTTGTTTCACATATTCAGCTTAGATCACTACTAAAAAAAATGCTATAGTTATCATTTATTTTAATATTCCTTAATCACACAAAATAATTGAAATATTTCAAATGAAAAATAAATCTTTTCCGTATCATGTTCTAGTTTAAAATCAAAAAATAATAGAATAGATCAAAGTTATCAAAAAAAATACTAAAATCTCTATTTTCAAATATTAATCATCCTCTTTTTACCTATTTCCTAAATACTTGTAAGATTAAGCACAAGTATCTAGCGATCTCCTCTTTACCTCAAATTAATATAATATTTTGAGACATTTAAAATTTAACATTTATTAATGTTATTAAAACTAACTCAATTTATGTGATCAAAGAAGTTTCAATTACTCTCTTTCTTGTTTATTCAAGGTTCTTTTCTTGTATATCCTTGCATATATATAAATAATTATATATAACTTAACATTCAATAACTTATTTGAAATATATTATATCCAAACGCTGAGGCCTAAAATTCTTATACTTAGAAATTAGTAATGATGTCAAATAATACGAAACACACGAATATCAAAATTATATCTTAACACCGTACTAAGGATTTTACTTGATCCTCAGTGCTTTCCATAGCTAACTATGTATTGGATTCAAGAATATACATTTTTTCATGGTAATTCTCTCTATCTATTTGAAAGTTTGATTTCGAAAAATGTTATGCAACTTTGATAATACTTCTTTTAATGATTCTTCAGTCTCATCTATTGAATCTATAGTTACTATTATGTATCAATATTATTTTTATCGGCAAAGTTCTTATCTACTTCACTTATATCAATATAAAAACTAAATATCTTATGGGGATTATTATTGAATGGGAACATCAATAGATTTCTTTTTTTCCTTAAACTAAGTGTTTAATTAACCTCTTCTTTTCACTTTTTAAGATTCTTAAGTTTTTTTTTATTTAATATTGCACTCTGAGATTATTTCAAATAACTAATTCAAATTTACACAATCTTCCACAAAAATTATTTTCCACGTTTATCCTTTTTAAACAAATAACATTTTCACTACCTCCCCCATCAAACAGAGAACATAGGTTGACCGTAATTAAATTCCTGTTGAAACATGATTAATGAACTAAAATAAAAACCCAATTATATATATAAATTCTTCATTATTATTTTATTGTTATAATTCTAATTTAAGTAATTAAAGCATTTTATTACCACAATTTGCATTTTTGACAATCACTTGTTTTTAAGTGAAAAAATCAATATTGGATTGGGAATAATATCTAAATTATAATTCTATCTTTTGTTTTAAATGTTGATTATATTTAAATAGAATAATTATAAATGATTAAAAAACATAAAGAAAAAGTTGAAATTTGTTCATCTTTACTTAAATAATTAAATTTTTTACTTAATTAGAAGGAAAAAGTGGATATTTTTAAATAATATTATTATTTCTATAATTATATTATTTATATCCGATATTCATTATCATTGTAGCTCCAAAATAAAAAATTCCATTCTTAAAATAAATGAATTATTATATTTATTTGTTCCTATTTCAAAAAAGGAAATATAATTGCAGTAGTCTCCCTATAAAATCATTTAGGATACAAGTACAACAAATTAATTTTGAAACTTTAAAATTGGATTTGCCATATTTATTTTGAAAAAGATCCAATTGAGTTATTGTTCAAAAATTGAGATTTGTAGAGGGAGTTTAGTGATTTTATACCTTTTTGAGAACTGATTAAATGTTTTTGATCATTAGGATAAATATATTTATCATAATTTTGATAATTTCTGCAATAATAAAATTGATTTAAATATGAGATGGAATTTTTTAGGGGAATTCATAAGTTTAATCATTTAAACCAACTTGTCACCATCTTTAAATAATTCTTATTTCACAACGTTTTAGATAACAGTTTACTATTTGTAGTTAACTTATTTCTTAATAAGCGAAAATCACGAATACATATATCGTTTAATTAATGCTTTATCAAGAATCAGTTTGATAACTCCAATATTTATAGAGACATATGAAATCAACATCCTGATTGGAGTGATTATCATTCTATTAAACATCATCCCATACCTTATAGTAATTTATAGGAGAATTAAGAATGTGAACAAGAAAGTAGGTAATATATCTAAAAGCATATTACAAGTAATAATATTTATAATATTTTCAGATGGCTACCATGATAATTAACTTTTATTTTCTATATTTCACATGGTTTCTGTATTTGCCCTAATTGTACTACATTGGATGGAATTATCTCCAATCAGATAGCTCTCTTAATATCATAGCTACCATCGTTCTATTTTTTACAGTATTAACTCTGACAATTTCGAATGTATATTTTGTGAATTTTGAATTCAACGAGCAGCATCTAAGAAAGCATTTCTCCTATAATAATCTAATTGCTTAGTCATTTGTGATTCCCATGGCTATCCTCTATTTGAAGAATGATGATATCACATAGATAGTGAGTAGGACCTTGCATGGATTAATATTGGCGATGTAAATTTATGAAGCATATTTTTAATTGCCTTTTGGGTAAGTTATTTAGAGATATTTTTAGATTTTCTCAATAAGGATATATATTTAATAGAGCTTTAATGACTCATTCTGTTGTATTTCTATTCTCCTCAATCAAGGCTTTGAGTACAGCCAGTCCTTACAGCTTGGCAACTATCATGTTAATTATGCAGCCAGTTGTATAATATTTGTTTTAAATTCTTTTTGATAGCAAAAGAGCAAATGCTTACCTTTCAATAAATAAGACAAATAATCAATATTATGAGTTGCTGTACATTGAAGATTTCTTTGAGTTGAGTTAATTAGCACAAAAAAATAAAACTAAGGAAATTGAATTAATATAGAAATTCAGTCTTCACATGAATAGATGTAATTCAACTAAATGTTAATGCAGGAAAATAGGATCATAAAAAATTCTATTGTTTGACGAAACTGTGCTTTTGATTTCCTGTTTGTTCAAAGGAAGTTTCGAGAAACACAAATAAAATTATCAAGATTTAAGAGTTTTTGAAATATTCAGTCTAAAGTTCTTAACATTCATTAATAAATACAAACATAATGCTCCGAAGACTTATTAAGAACTAAAAATCTTTTTTTAGAAAAAGCGAGATTACTCATTTTATTTCATTTAAATGTGTTTATTATTACAATTCATACTCTAAGCTTAGATGCAGAAAGATGAAGATTATAATATAAATAAAGAGACCAGAGTTTCGAATGTCAAATTATAGGTGAGCAAAAGTGAAAGAAGTATAGTCCAAAATCTTTATTAAATGGAACAAGTTAAACAAAATATGATACCTCTATTGACAGAGGTTAGTTAATTTAAATCTTAATTTTGGAAGTCATTTAAAGAGGGTAAATTCTCGGACTATCTTTAAATTGAGGACCAAATAAAAAAACTATAGAAATTAAGAGATGATGTTCTGTATTAATTTAACATTTATTATCAAATCTTTTATCAAAATGGAAGAACCTTTAATGTACAATTTTTGAAGGTAAACGCTTTAATTAATCTGTTGTTGTTTAATAATGTGAGAAAGTATTTTGAAATGGAGAAAGGTAATAAATATCAATAACATTAGAAAGGAGAGAAATTCTGTAATTTGAGAAGAGTATGAACTCGTTTGAAATTACTAACATTAACTTTTTTAAAGGAGAAGCAATATCGGTGAAGGTGTGCATAGCTTTTGGTCCAAACATCGGAAAGGTCTTAAATAAGGTAATTTCTCCTTTGATCCCCAAATTTTTTGGATTTGGAAAATTTCCTAATCCAACGAATGCCTTTATAGATTTCACTAAAGGTAATATCAATACTTTGATGCCTGCATGGCTGGAACCGATTCATGATGAAATAATGTAGAATTATATACGAAGAGGGGTAACGGCAAGAATTGGTAAATATTTTTAAACATTTGCAAAATTGTATGATAAAACCTTGATAAGATGTTAAGTTTATTTGGCACATAATTTTAGTTAGGAATTAGAAGATGATTTTACAATGATTGGATGTTTAAAATCATTGGAAGAGGAATAACCAAAGTTTGTAGGTGATGAGGGCAAGAAATTAAAGAATATTGCATTTAAAGGAGCTCAACACATTCTATTTGATGTGAATGGGAATATCATGGGCATAACTAAGGGGTTATATAAAATGATTGAAAGATTGTAGAGATTGGTAACTAAAAACAAAGTAGGAACCTATCATGAAAATGATGAGATTTTACAATAAAGTGGACAGAAATCTAAATCAGAGATCTCCTCAGTCGAATCTGAAAGGTATTTAGATTAAATATAATCAGTTATGATGTGTTCGATTAGAAATGGTCGAATACAATTTTGTAGATTGATGACTTTTATAATAAAGTATTGATTTGGATGATTTTGCCATTCATTTCAAGGGAAGTAGAATCAACAGGAATAGAGTTCTTAATGAATGGACAAACCCCTCCAAAAAATAGATATGCAAATCTAATTGATTTAGAAAATGGCAATCAAGTGGTTTAAAATAAAGAAACTTATTTATTTGTTCCTGAAGATTTAAATCTATTTGTTTAATAGTACGACAAGGTAATTACCAAAATCGTTGATGATCTCAGAGTCTAATCAAATAACTTTTCATCTGGAAGTGCATATAGAGGAGGACAAAGAAGTGAATATCAAGAGAGTGATCAATAAAGTTTGATTTAAGTAGTCACTATTTTTGATGAGAAGTTATGTGTATTCTTCTATGAGGAACACTTAAAAAGACATCAAGCATTATTATTTGGTTAGACAAGACAATCAGAAATGTAGAAGAGTTAAGGGAGACCCTCGTCCAAATCCTCTATACCTGAAAAACAAACCATTAGCAGTGAAGAAGATAGTGAGTAATTGAAAACAAGGGCTGAAAAAATATACTAGGATAGATATTCAAAATACATTGAGAAATTTACACCCCAAGATTTCAATCCTATTCCTGTTGTCTATTCAGTATTTTACGAGGAATATCGCTATAAGAAAAATGATACCGATCATAAACAATAGATGTTTGTAATCGAATTAATTGTGAATGATTAATAATTATTGAATACAGAAAAGGGATACAAAAGATAATTAAGAGAGACTATCAAATAGACATATTAGAATTATCAACAAAAAAAACTGTTATTAGAATAAAGATCAGAGGTAGAAGATTCAATGAGCATATAAGGGAATATGAGTGAATAAAGGAGTGTACATGAAGGAGAAATCATCAATTATAATTTCCCATCTCATCCTTCACATTATTATGAAGACATTTATTTCGTAGAAAATAATTAGATTTTACAAACTGATTAAATATACAGTCCGAGACAAGATGGTAAGTCTGAAGGAATGCTCTTAAGTGGTCGATCAAGATAGAGTAAACCGTTATTAGAGAAAGATACTAAAACTTAGGGAGGTCAAAAAAAGAAGAGTTAAGCTACTGTTAATTCAGAACATAGTAGAGAAGAAATATAATTTAAGGGATCTTATTCAAATTTGAAGTTCCCTGAAAAGGAGATTGCTTTCAAGGCTCTGGCTAGAATTAATCAAAAAAAGAAACAGCAAGACTTTTTTAATGATAATGAATCTAAAATACCTGTAGAGAGTAAAGGCTCTTAATAACAGATCTTTGAAGAGTTTTAAGTCAAATATTCAGACGGTTTAAAACTATTTGATTCTCAATATAAGGTTGTTTAATAGAAAACTTCTGATATGAAAAATCCAAACTCATACAAAATTCAAAAATATCTACTGATTACAACATTTATTTTAATAGTAAGTTATATCATTCTGATTTCTGTTGCTGTATAAAAGTAATACAATCTAAGTGAATGCTACGATTTACTTGAATTAATGATAGCAACCTAAAAATCCTATTCTCAAATTACTCATAGTTTGTATCGTTTAGAATTGTCAGATTTACTGGAAATCGACAATATTGATATTTTAAAATAATTTTATGAAAAACAAATCTTTTCTGAATTGTAGTAGCTGATAGATATTTAAAGTAGTTAAATTATTGAAATCAATTAAGTGTAAGTTAGCTTAGATTTATTTTATGATATAGAAGATAAAGTGCAAATACAGCCAACACTTTAATAAATAATTCAATTTACTCTTGGTTAATTCTATCGACTAAAATAGAATGAAACAAGAGTTAATTTCAAATATAATTCCTCCTTAACACTAGCGTCCGTTGCCAATCTTGAGGGGATTGGATAATTACCACAAAAGGCTTATGATTACTGTTTTGATGATAAGGTCTCTAATGAAAACACATATTAAACTCTCTTAATCATATATATGGTAGTCATCTTCTTTTTGGTTATGATTTTATAGTTTTCACACATTCCATTAATTGGAAAATTAAGAAAGAGTCATCGTACATTTTACAAGGAAATTATAAAATTATAATCGAATGAAGTAAATGATGAAATTGAGATATATGAAACAGTAGTGAATATATTCAAAAAATCTATTTATGAATGGATGTTGATTGATTTTGTTTAAGAATCTCAGATGTTCGAGATTACTCGAGAGCATAGAACTAATGCTATTACTCCAGGGAGGGAAATGCATACAGACATAAGTGCAGGAGCAGTCTCTTCATCAAATAAAAAGAATAAGTATAATTTAATGGAGAAATTGAAGAAATCTTAGATGAGATAGGTAAAGTACTTTGTAATATTAATGGTTGGATTATTTGTTATTTTAGCCTACTTTCTAATAATCTTCTTAGTTATTTTTATTTTATCAAAGGATCTTTTATCCAATGTAGAAATCCTATTCAAATTCAAATTAGTTTAATCATCAGTGATTAATTTAATCAATAATATGGATTTAGTAGCATTTTCAAGTGTGAATGATTCACTATTTGATAATGTCATGTCGGTATAAACTTATTAAACCTATGCATAAGTGCTAAGTGGAGATACAACAGATTATTTTTAACAATATTCAAATGAATTCCTATCAGCACTAATCGATAATAATCTGAAATTTAATCTCGATACTATAAATTAGAACAATATTTGTGAGATTGGAATTGGCATTGATTGTGAATCAACTGATGCCATAACCTTAAATCCTTGGCTATTACCATACTATTAATAAGGGTTGAAATCTTTATTGACTTAGGTTGACAAAATTATATCCTAATACCCTTACTTTTTTGATGACGAGAATGCAAAAAATTCATAGGAGACTCTTTTCGAATTTTTTTAGAGCCAAGAACACTTAATTTATATAGATTATGGAAGTGAATTATTAATCAAGGCTCAGAAGTAAATTATTGATACTGCTTATTAACAGTTTGATCAATCTTTGAATTTCTACAAACAAACACTGTTAATTTTCACTTTGAGTGTAGGCGTAGCTGGTTTTTGTATTATAGGTTTTTTGGGGAATCTAATCCTTAAGATGTAAAAAGATTCAATCGAAACATGTTAGGCTGCCTTACTATTATTATCACCTAAACGATACCTAAATAAATCGATGGGTTTATTAACATAAAAAAAATTGTGATTTTTTTGTGTATAATTAATATGAATTAAGTTAAACAGGATAATCCATAATAATCTAATTACGAGCAGTCTCGAATTGGAGTTGCTTTTGGTGACGATTTTGAAAAGGGTCCAGTTTCCTTTAGGTATTAAATTGCATTTCTAAATGAGAGCTGAAGTCCACTTTAATGAGTAAAAGGCAATAGATTAATATGATACCCTCAAAAATATAGTTGGAGATCATATTGACATTGATTGGGCTCTGGTTTGTTTCCTCCGATATTAACCAGGCAAAAAGGAAGCCTTGATTGAATCAATTACAAAAATAAAGGATAGACGTATAATGTTATATTGAATCATTAGCTCGGTTTGAGGCCTTTGAATGTAAGATTCACTCAGATGAAACCTATGTTTATTTCAGCGTTAAACTTAGAGAGGATGAGGAAAGTAAACTGAAAGGAGGTCTTGAAGTGATTTTAGAAAATGGTATATTGATTTTAGTAACTTAAGGATTAAGAGAGATGGTAAAGACCTAGGATAATTATTTAAACTTTGAGTTTGATGCAAACTATGATTTTGAAGAATTGGTATAAGCTGTATCTAAAGGCGAGAGGGTTGGAGCAGCATTCTTAAAACAAATTAGGTAAACAAGAATTATAAATAAAAGAGCTGAATTGAATTTATTTTTGACAAAGAATTTCTATCAAGGAATAGAAAAATTTGTTGAAGGAATCGATAAAGAATCCTTGGAGTCTCCTCCTTTGGCATTCTTAAAACATTTTAAGAATTTAGACATGGATTTGAGATTCAGATCAACTGATGAATTGCCATAAGTTATCAAGAATTAGATGATCTTTGGAGAGGAATTTTAGACCTTGGCATAGGAAGAATTATAATTACCTATCAATCGTACAAAATAGGTAAATACTATTATGGAAGTAATTAATCATCAGTTATTTAGGCAGCAGCAGATAATGGATTCATTTATTTGACTATTTCAGACCTATTTGCTCTTAAAGTTGAATCGCATACACCCAAATTGTCTACTTTTTTAACAAAATACGGAAAGTACTTGGCAAAATTAGTAGGATTAGGAGAATTTGTTCCAGAAGCATGATATTAAAGATAATTATTCATAATAAATGTGTTATCTTGCTCAATAATAACAATGTGCGATGTCATAAATTTAGTCATCTGGTCTATCAATTTCTGATTTAATGCCTGAGTTTCGTCTTGTTCTTCCAGATTCATATTTAAATACAGGTCCAGAGATATCTTCGTCACATTACAGACATTTGTTTAGCTTTCCATTTTTTACGAAATCCTCATTTGTCATAAAAGACACACTTTTAGAATTAGGATGAATTAATTACATACAAGGCCAAAAACATGATTTTTTTGTATTTAAAGTATTGTACAACCAAACTTAAGCACAAGTATCTGTGAACCCTAATCCCTTGATACATTTTAAAAGATAATGTTATGACAATCCATACATTAAACCACACTTTCTTACTGGTCTAGTCAAATCAGTTGTAAGATAAACAGCTAAATCTTACAAAGTAGAGCATGCACCACATTTTCCTTAATGAGTTACAATGAATTTATTCTCTTCTGCCTCTTCCTTTGAATTAAATTGTTTTAAATGATATCTAAAATTTATGGTTTGATTACATTTGCTTTTCGTAGTCATCATATTTAATAGCGCAAACACTAGTGGTATCTTTTAAGTTATCCTACACCCTTAATAGATAATTAGGATCAATAATTTCATAAGGATTCTTTGTGTAAGGAAATATGGGATCTCTAATTTGTTTAGATTTGAAGGCTTTTGCAGCTTCATCAATATCACAACTGTACACTGCAACTATTAGAAACAAATGCAATTTTTACATTAATAATATATTAATAATATTATCAATTGGAATTACTAATTTTTTATATCATTCTTGCTTATCTCCTTACTTAATTAAATTATCTAAGAAATCATCACAATCTTCATCACTGTCTCCTGTTTTTGTTTAGATCTTTTGTTCAAATTTAGCCACTAATTATTCATCATCATCTTCACTCTCATCAGATAAATTATCCTTTTATATAACTTATTATTAATTTATAGTTTCTTTTTATTCCTATTACACTTATTTCTATTATTATTTTGGCGATGCTGACTATTCCTATTACTATTAAGGTGGACTTTTAACTTGTTCTGTAAATAATTATTATGGTTGAATGCTATCTTGGAGACTTCTATTATTTTACTATTGTTTTTATTATGGCAACTTTTCATCTGAGTCTTCATTATCTTTTTTCTCTGTTTCATTTCCTAAACTGAATACTTCTTCTTTTGTTTTTTGCTATTATTGATGTACTTCCAATCCATCAATAACATGTTTTTCTTTTACAACTAAGCCTTTACATTCTTATACAATTTATAATAACAATTAATTCGATGACTTAGTATCATTACTAAAAGTTTAAGGCCTATCTGCAGTCTAGAATGATTTCTAATTTCCCCTTTCAAAAATAAAATCAACAAAAAAGTCTTTTTCTGTTTTCATTTATGGACTCTTATCTAATTCTCTATCCCACACTCTAAGAACGTTGTCAAATAAAAATGAACAATTAAACATAACTCTGAATAAAGCTACTCTAGTTTTGTTATTCTCAAAGTGCTTGCATCTAACTAAAATATCATCTGAAAGCTATTATTAGAAATTGATTATATTTTTACTTCTATTCCTTTGAGATCAAAAATACAACTCAAATCTCCTTGTTAATAATTTTTTAATTCACCATCAGTCAAAGAATTAAATATTGGTTTATCATTCTTAAATAATTAAATATATGGTCTGAACATAGTACAATTTTAGACTTTAGGAATACCAGATATAACAATAGATATTAATCTCAAACAAGAACTATTTAATTTAAGCCCATTTAAAACATTCCCAACATACGTAATATACTAATGTTGAGATGGAAATAAGGCCTAAAAGTCTTTGGTGTTTGTTTTTTCACATACTCTTAATAAGCATTCGCCTGGCTATCATTTTATATTATTGAAAATTACATAGCCAGCACCCATAATAGCCAACAATGATGATATTACCATGATACTTCTACCCCTTGTTTCTTGGCAACACACAATTGCTATATTGTTCCTATCACTACTTAGAAAATAGATTATGTTTTTGCAAATCATCAAGAGCTCGATCAATGGTGGACATGGATATCCTGGATGTGAATGATTGGCAACCTACTTACTTTTTCACTCTACTTAATTGCAAAACCATTCTGTCGTAAACTCTCTTTCTCCAACATTCCAAATATAGTAATGATTCTGATGATTTGTGTTTAAATAACTCGATAATTTTTCTATTTTATCATTGGATGGATACTCCATCCAATATAATCTATTGCTTATTGCCACTATGTCTCCCTAAATTGCTTGTTTGCTTAATTTATCTATTGTGTTTGAAGCAATTTGTTTGGTCTGTGAGGCCAAGCTTTTGTAGGAGTTTGCTATCCCTTTGAATTTTGGAGCCAAAGAATTATACAATTTATCCATATTAATATATATAATTCACATTTTCATCTGAAAATCAAGAATCAAATATTCATATATTTTCATTTTTGTGTATTCATACAAGATATAAATAAAATGCAGTTTAAAATTGGTCAATAGATAAATATGTTAGATAACTGCACATATGAGCATGAATAAACAATTTATTAAAGTAATTAAGCTGTTTTATCAGATATTAAGCTTTGATGACTTTCTCAGCAATGGATTATACACTTTAACGCTAATTTGATACTTAATATTAATTGTTGTAGATAATTCCTCAACTTTTCATATCAATTTAGAGTTTGACATCATTGTAGAATTAATCATCATCTTTTTCAATGCTCAACATTATAAATTGGTAAACGTAGAGGAGAGAAATGCAAGATTTTAAATCTCAAATGATGGACACACTATAGATATAAAAAATGTAAAATCCACCAATTTTTTAATTCCATGCTCACATAAAAACAAACCCATTAAGATTTATTATCCTAAATGCGTCTGATATATACAGTATCTCCTACCTATCTATTTTCGTTGAAAATGGGCCTTTACTCTATGAATTGCTATATGTACTATATTTTCTTCAATTATCATTTATTTAATTACAAAATTGTAAAACTTTATATATATATATTATATTTTCATTTCTTCTATAATCTAGGTAGTTTTAGGTAAGAAGATTTAATTTCAAACTTTTATTCTATTTTTGAAATGTTTTAGATGTACCTTTTGGTAGATTCCGTTTTTAATTGATATTGTAATAATCTCTGATCTAATGAAGATATCCTATAAATCATAATAATATATTCATACTTCTTCATAACCTCATTTTTTTATCTTGATAAATCATAACTTCTTTAATAATACTTGTCATCCTCATCTTCATCTTCTTCAATTAAATCTTCAGGTTTAAATTCCTCTTGTAATAGAAGTTTAGGATCTAACTTATCCAATTTCTCCCAATTTACAACCTAATTAGAATTTGCATCTAGACCAATCATTCTTAATTTTCTTTCCCTATAATTATTAGTTTTGATGTAAGATGGCTCAAAAAAAATAGATTTAGATCTTGAATTATCTGCTTATGATATTATTTTATCTCTTAATTCTTATTTTTTTATATTTTTCCATTCTTCCACTTAAATTCTTCTCGATTTAAGTTCATCAGTTGAATAATTTACAAACCTTTATAGTTATAATCCCTCAGGTTTTCTAAAACCTTATGCATCTTTTGATTCAAATGGAATGTTCAAGGATTTCATTTTTTTTTTAAACTAAGTTGAATCTACTTCCATGTATTAAAATAATTTAATCTCAGCTTTTGCTTAATCTTCCTTATACATGAGTTTAGAAAGTTCTTTCAATAAAAGGATAAAATTTATAAAGGTAATTTCATTTTAATTTTGATTAACTCTCCTAAATAGTAGATTCTAATATATAAAGTAAATTAATATACAAGTTCTTTAAAAGATAATATTCGCATATATTCTTATAGATGATTCATTTATGAAGCAGGAACCATTTTATTAGGCTTGGTTGTGAATACATCATTTAAAATTCTATTTGATTTGGTATGGTTTGATTAGGTCTTGATGTGATGGATTTTTTCATCTATCAACCCAAATTGTCGACAAAATATCATAAACTTACCCTCTGTTAATGTTTGGGATTCATGATTGATTCTAGTGAAATCATCTGATGGGCCTCTAACAAAGAATATTTTGGAATAAAATTTATAAACTTCTTTCAGATGAACTTATATCTTAGACTACGAAAAGAAAGACTCTTCTGTCTATTCAAGTTCTTTAATTAAACTAATCCCACCGAAGTTGCTGATATCATTTGTTATTTGATCTAAATTATTAAACTTCAATTTTTCCAATTGACCTTCAAGTGTAGACATTATACGTTTAATAACTTTCTTATCTTTTTATTATACACACTAGGCTTCGATTTTTTTATATCTTTCTAACTATTTCTCTAAATATTCTTAGATATTTAAATTCTCTTATCCAATTAACACAGGGTTTTATTGTTATTATTATTATTCGTTCTCTTCTTGATTTTCAATCACTATTACCTAATTATTGATCTATTCATCAATTTTTGACTTATTATCAACTTTCCCTTTTTCACTTTTCACTTCCAACCCTTCTGGTTTCGCTATAACTTCATTGTCTTCATTATTTAATTAAGACTCTTAGTTTTATAGGTTTTGAGAAATTTCCACTTACCCTTTAGTCTCTACTGGATTTTCGTTTTAATTTTCCATGAATAGATTCTAAGTAATTTTTTTATTTTTATTTAATGCAATTAATAATTTATTGCTTCTAATTGCTTTTTTTGTAAAGTACTCTCGAAAGGTTAATTGTTATAATTTAACTACAAATCGAATAAATCCCATTATTATCTACATTAGCATATAGATGTCTACAGAATGTAAATGACATCTCTGAATTATAAGAACTTAAAATAAAAAATCACTTTATTATTACTCTATATTTCCTTGTAATTATGAAATCTAATAATATAATTTACCTACTCTGTAGTCCATATTCAACTTCATCAACAAGGAACATCAATACTATTTTAATGATCATTTAGAAATTGAGAAATTAATACTAAATTTCAAAATTACATTTTCCTAAATTGGCTTATACCAACTTTCACTATATTAAATAAAGCTAATTTATTTATGTCGAAAAAAATAAGTATTCAATAGAATAATACATTTTTTATTTATCAACAGTTTCTAATAAACAATTAAGATGATATTATCAACCGATGTTTATACATTTGATTTTAATAACCCTTAATATTTAAAATTTAATACCATCTGAATATAATACTTTTTAAAAGAAAACCAATAAGACTGAGCTCAAGGACTAGAATTTATCACTGCCTTGTTCAAAATAGTACCAATCAAACATTGAATTTCATTTCACAACTAATCTGATCATTTTTGTTTAATTAATTTGACTTTTATTATAAAATTAAGCACTTAAAGATAAGAGATGCTCATTTTTAAATACACTCATATATTCTAAAATAAGAAGTTAATAAATATATATATTTTGCATTTTGGCTGAATTACCGAAAAATCAATCTGAAAAAAGAAAGTAACCCAATAGTTTATCAAATATAAGGTTGTTTGTGGAAACCTTAAACAAAATCTAGAATATTGTTCATATTGGACATAAATAATAAGATAGCCTATAAGTAAATTAAATCTAATTTACACATAAGGCCTGATTAAAGAGGTTGAGCTGATTCAGATTTTTCAAGAATAAGAAAGGAGATTCATATTGAAGAGATATCTATATTTCTTAAAGTAGAAAATCTTTCAGTAAGATTTCTAATACTTCATCATACAAACTTTTTCATCTGCATTTCCTGGCTCCTCTAAAAGTAATTTCTTTTAGAATTATAAAAAATGATTTCAAGAGATAAAGCTATTAATAAAGAGCCCAAATCGGATATATAAATCAAATAAATTAAGAATCAATATCTATTTTAAGATTATGGAAGTATAGAAAATTTGGAACCAATATTTACTTTTTGACAAGGTTAGGTTAGAAATTCACCATGATTAATCTAGGCCAATTGCTTAATGAATTATCAATTACTTCCAAATATTTATTATTATATTTGTTTATTTCAAATTTACACTAAGGCATTTACAAAGTCTGAAGTTTTGTCATGTGATTAACTCCCATTTCTTATAGAATGATGCCTCTTAATCTAATACCGCAAGAAAGAATAGGGGTTGAAATTCACACAAACAAATAAAGACTGAAGAACAATCGCATCAAAAGACCCTTGAAGATCAACAAAATGTGTTGGATATCGAAGTAAAGAAATTGCCCAATAAAGTGTTATGATAAAGATGTGAGGTAAAATAATTCAAATGCACATAAAAATAATATTTTTGTGAAATTTATCAAATTAAAAATTTAATTATTTTTAGATTATAATTAAAATTAGAAAAGTAAGGCAAGATTTTGAATTTGGAAAAATTTAGCAAAATTCAAAGGAATTAGATTTGCAAAATTTAAATAACGTTGCTCTTAATATCTTTAGACTGAAATATATATAATTTGAATATCAAACATCTTGCTATAAAATTTCTAATACTTTTATTTGAATCAATTCACCCCCAACATCTACTACTTAATAAATTGAACATTCTGTATTAGATGTGTTAATTATCAATTCTTATTCTGACAATTGAAATCTGACATTATAAAGAATAGAATTGATAGTCGGATAGCAATAATGCGAAAATTATTTCTAATTTTAAGATTAACATTAGAGGCACTTTATAAAATAGCTATTCATTTTTTTATTTGGAAAGCATTTTGCATAAACTAGGATAGTCAATATTTATAAATTATTATTAATTGTCTATGTGAAGGTTCCTTAAGTTACTATTTACTAATTAACTTCTAATAGATTTATCTCCATAGGAATTCTTTCATCTGACTTTGGATCTTTAATATGATTAATTAAAATTTATGATAAAAGAATAAATGGTGCTATTACTAGGATATACGAATACAATTAATGCATAAATTATTATAAAAAACCCATCCTCTTGAACAAGCAGTGCAATCTGTTTTTAAAGGACCTAGACATAGATCACAACCATTATAACAGTTGCTTACAAAATACAAATTAAATGCTCTTATTCCCCAATAGGCATTTGTAGTTGCTGCATTACGATTAGTTCTCATAGTTATTTTACATTACGTTGATGAATGAGATAGAGTTACTGCAATATTAACCATTTTTTCTTATCCAGTGGATCCACAAATAGAATAAAAACCTAAAGTTCCTAAAACAGTTTAATTTTAAATTTTATCATCTACCAATAACTCAAAATTTTCATTATTCCATTTATCTATTTTCCAAAGTTATAAATTGATATGGATTTTATGGTGAAAACTCAAGTTTTGTATAGTTTTTTCTAATTTATCATTAGGTGCTAAATTAAGGTATCCTCCAACAAGATCAAAACTTACACATTAAGACGTTGCAGGTTAGATATTATCATTTTTCATCCATCCATCAAGTAACATTGAAACATGCCACAATGATAGAAAACTAATCCATTTAAAACAATTATTATAATCATTGTCTAAACAGTAAAAACAACCCGAAGGGCATTTTAAAATTGACAATGTAAAATCTCTGATTCCCCAACTTTCCTTTTATATTTATGATATTTTACATCTTTAGGATCTTGATTAAGATTTGTAGTTGTTATGAAAACTAACGATTCAGAAGTATGATCCAGAATAAGTGTAATAGGTTCAAATGCATCAATCCATCTATATCCACAAAGATAACTTCCATCAGTTGAAGTATAAAGTTTTGAAAATAATTTATCATCTACAATTATGTAGACATATTCATCATCCCAACTATCAACTCTATTTTTGATAGAAGAAATTACTTCCAAAATTCTAAAGTGACATTTAGTTTATAATGAGGAGGTAAGGAAAAACGCTTAGATATTTTTGTTTTAGCTGCAAATGTGTCTGCTCCTCCAAACAATCTAAAACCATTGCAATTTGAAAATAAATTTCCATTATAATTATTACTTACAATCCAGCCTAAATAATTTAATATATAATAACCCGATGCATCCATTGTGTTAGTATCTTGAAAGCTTTGGTATATAATATCCCATTGTTCTTATGCGTTAGCTAAACATAACAAGATTAAAATAAATTTATAATGTTTCATTAATTTTAATATTATTAAAACTTTAAAAAATATCTATATTTTATATAGATCTATAGTTTTTATGCTTTTTATTTAGACTATGAATATTTTAAATTACTTATATATTATATTCTTAAATTCAATAATGGATACATATTAACGCTAGTTTAATTTTGCCAAATTTTCCCTCATAACTAACAATAAATGGGAATAAAAGATAAAATTTAAAGATTAGATAAGTCAGCTTTATAAAAAACTTTATTAGTCAATACCCATTTGCATAAACATAAAGATTATCTGAACTAACAACTTTTAAAGAGAAAAAGTTAGATTGACATAGATTCTAGAACTGATTGGTGGCTAAATCGATAACGCAACAATCCGGATTAAATTTCATATAAAACTCAATCTGGTCATTGTTTTTAATTAATTTAACATAAAATTATAAGAATATCGGCAGCTAAGAGATAGAATAGTTTTACTGTAAAAACGTTTTACATTCTAAACTAAGCTTTTAATAAATTTACATGTTAGTAGAATTATCTAAAAACTAATCTTAGAAAGAAGAAATAATCGCAAAGTAACAGTTTACTTTTCTGAATTTGGAAAAATTTAGAAAAATTCAAGGGAATTAGATTTGCAAAATTTAAATAACGTTGCTCTTAAGCATCTTTAGACTGAAATATATATAATTTGAATATTCAAACATCTTGCTATAAAATTTCTAATATTTTTATTTGAATCAATTCACCTCCAACGTCTACTACTTAATAAATTGAACATTCTGTATTAGATGTGTTAATTATCAATTCTTATTCTGACAATTGGAATCTGACATTATAAAGAATAGAATTGATAGTCGGATAGCAATAATGCGAAAGTATTTCTAATTTTAAGATTAACATTAGAGGCACTTTATAAAATAGCTATTCATTTTTTTATTTGGAAAGCATTTTGCATAAACTAGGATAGTCAATATTTATAAATTATTATTAATTGTCTATGTGAAGGTTCCTTAAGTTACTATTTACTAATTAACTTCTAATAGATTTATCTCCATAGGAATTCTTTCATCTGACTTTGGATCTTTAATTTGATTAATTTAAATTTATGATAAAAGAATAAATGGGACTATTACTAGGATATATGAATACAATTAATGCATAAATTATTATAAAAAACCCATCCTCTTGAACAAGCAGTACAATCTGTTTTTAAAGGACCTAGACATAGATCACAACCATCATAACAGTTGTTTGCAATATATATATTTAATGCTCTTATTCCCCAATATGCATCTGTAGTTGCTGGATTATGATTGGTTCTCATAGTTATTTTACATGATGATGAAGAATGAGATAGAGTAACTGCAATATTAAATATTTTTTCTAATCCAGTGGATCCACAGATAGAATAAAAGCCTGTAGTTTCTAAAACAGTTTAATAATAAATTTAATCATCTACCAATAACTCAAAATTTTCATTATTCCAAGTATCAATTTTCCACAGTTATACATTTATTTAAATTTGATAATGAAAACCCAAGTTTTGTATAATTTTTTCTAATTTATCATTAGGTGCTAAATTGAGAAATCCTCCAACAAGATCAAAACTTACACAATAAGACGTTGCAGGTTTGATATTATCATTTTTCATCCATCCATCAGTTATAATTGATTCATGCCAAAATGATTAAAAACCAACCCATTAATAACAATTATTATAATTATTGTCTGAGCAATATAAACAGCCAGAAGGACATCTTAGTATTGACAATGTAAAATCTCTAATTCCCCAACTTTCCTTTAAAATTAATTATATTTTACATTTCTAGGAGATTCATTAAGATTAGAAGTTATAATAATAATTAATGATTCTGAATTATGGTTCATTATAATTGTAATAGGTTCAACTACCTCTTTCCATTCGTTTTTCCAATAATCTCCGCATAATTGGATCCCTTAAGATGGAAAATATTTTTTTGATTGTAATGTACCATCTACAATTATATAGAAATCTTCATCATCCCAACTATCTATTCTAATTTTTTAGATAAGAAATACTTCCAGAATTCTAAAGTAACTTTAACTTTATAATGAGGAAGTAAGGAAAAGTGCTTCGATACTATTGACCTAGTTCCAAATATGTTATATCCTCCCAACAATGTAAAACCATCGCAAGTAGAAAAAAACCATCCATTTTAATTATTCCTTACAAACCAGCCTAAATAATTTAATATATAAATAACCAGATGCATCCATTGTGTTAGTATCTTGAAGGCTTTTTTATATAATATCCCATTGTTCTTATGTGTTAGCTAAACATAATATGATTAAAATAAATATCTTATTTTTCATCTATTTTAATATAATTATCACATTTTAATTTCTACTTCCCAAGTTGTTATTTTGGTTAAAATCCAATAATTTAGGAAGACTTTGTATTCTTCATTTTAATGATATAAAAAAATATCAATCTATAAAGAATATTGGTTAATTAAATGTATTTTGAAAGAAATATAAATCAATTAAATATTAATAATAGCTCTAAACACAATTAATTATATTCTAGATTCTATTTTGATAGTATTAACAAAATGAATTTTAGGAGATTTATTTATTTCATATTGAGTCAAAAAATTTATTGCAAATAGTATAAGATCATAATGATTAAAAGAACTTTTTATCTTTGATTTAATTTTGGGCTTGGAGGTTATCATCTAAACATAATCCGCAAGCTAAATAAAATTGTCAATAATGTGCTTCTATCATATTATCATATTGACGAGCTTCATAATTTCTTAGATATTTTTCAGTATATTTACAGAGTAGATGGGTGGTTTGTAAGGTATTTTCCTTTAACTCAATATATATATATAGCTTTGTGTTTTGTTATTATGATGGTTTCTCATACTAATTTAATGAATAATTAAAATATTATATAATCATTAATAGAGCGTTTGGTTTTTGTGTTTATCATTTTTAATAATTCGATTAAGTTCTCTGATATAAAAAGTTATAAAATTCTTCTTTTTTAACTAATGCTGTTACCTATATATTAAGATTATAAAGACAATATCCAAATTTTTTTTCTCTTTCTTTTAAGCTTATCACATCTCGATGCCATTTTATTATTTTTTGCAAATTGTTATGTACATTTTTTTCTTCTAATTGATTTTTCAGAAAATTGTTTAATATTTCTTCTGTAAACAATTAGTGAATTCTTCAAAATACTTAATTTAATAGACTATTAATCTCATTCAACCGATTTAATTAGTTGATAAAGTTTATTACTTAAAATAGTATAGAGGTTAAAACATAAAAATGAGTTACACGCTTTGTAATTTCAATTATTATTCATTGTTCATGTTTAATCAAATTAATTCACTGCTTTATTCTTTTTTATTCCAAAGAGTCTCTCCTTAATTTATGATCATCAATACTCTCAACCTTCTCATTTTCCTTTGGCTCAAAGAATTTTCTTCTCTCTTACCTTCTACTTCTCCCTAACCATCGTTATTAATTTAGTTTTCTAATAATTAAAATCTAATTTTTTATCAATTTCTATTTAACTTCCATAATTAATAAACGTCAACTCATTAAATATATATTTTCAAGAAAAATTTCTATAGTTATGTATATAATTTGTGTATCTTTAATTACTTTAAATAAACTTCATTTTTCATTTTATTTGCTGGAAGTAAAATTCTGTATCAATTTTAAATTTGAATATTGGAATTGGTGGTATTAATAAATGTAGTTTAGTTGAAGTTAATTAAATCTTCTTAGTTATCTTTATTTGTTCTACACAAATTGAAAAAGGCCAAACAGTCAAATTGACTTTGTTACTGGTTTCAATTTAGAATTCTTAAAAAATCTAAAGATGTATGAAGCTCATTTTTATGATATAAACACATTATTCACAACTCAGTTTGGTTATGGAATAAGTTTAGTTAATAAGGCTCCAGGACTAAAAATAAATCAAAGGTAAAAAGATCAATTAACTGTTATGCTTTTAATCTTTTTTTATTGAAATTCCAAAAATGGATTTAACTAATACTATCAAAATATAATTTAGAATATAATTAATTGTGTTTAGAGCTATTTATAATACTTATTTTATTTATAATTTCAATCATCTACATTTAATTAACCAATATTCTTTATAAATCCATAATGAAAGTAAAAACACTCTTATGATATTTTGTTATATCAATAAAATTATCAATAAAGAGTCTTCCTAGATTATTAGATTAAAAAATAAAAATTTGGGTAGCAGTAAATTAGCATGTGATAATTATATTAAAATAGATGAAACATAAGATATTTATTTTAATCATATTATGTTTAGCTAACACATAAGAACAATGGGATACTATATACCAAAGCTTTCAAGATACTAACACAATGGATGCATCTGGTTATTTTTATATTAAATTATTTAGGCTGGATTGTAAGTAATAATTATTTTGGAAAATCATTTTACACTTGCGATGGTATTCGATTGTTTGGAGGATATAACGTATTTGGAACTAATACAACAGTATCGAAGCACTTTTCCTTACCTCCTCATTATAAAATAAATGTTTCTTTAGAATTCTGGAAGTATTTCTTATATAAAATATTAGAGTGGATAGTTGGAATAAGGAATATGCCTATGTTATTGTGGATGATGTGTTATGGTCAAGAAAATTCTATTATACTGATGGGGTTTAACTATGTGGATCGACTGCAGAAGGTAGGAATGAGAAAAGTGAACCTGTTACAATTATAACGAATCATTATTCTGAATCATTAATGCTAATGCTGACTACAAATCTGGATGAGCAACCCAATTCAGTAAAATATAATTAATATCAAAGGAAAGTTGGGGATTTAGAGATTTTACTTTGTCAATTGTAAAATGTCCTTCGGGTTGTTTATTTTGTTCAGACAATGAATATAATAATTGTAATTTTTGGTTTATTATTTCATCATTGTGGCATGAATCAATTGAATTTGATGGATGGATGAAAAATGATAATGTTTAACCTGAAACATATAAATGTGTAAGTTTTGACCTTGTTGGAGGATATCTAAATTTAGCACCAAATGATAAATTAGAAAAAATTATATAAAATTTGAGTTTTCATTATCAAATTTAAATAAATGTATAACTGTGGAAAATTGATACATGGAATAATGAAAACTTTGAGTTATTGGTAGATGATTAAATTTAATATTAAACTGTTTTAGGAACTGCAGGTTTTTATTCCATTTGTGGATCCACTGGATTAGAAAAAATATTTAATATTGCAGTTAATCTATCTCATTCATCATCATCATGTAAAATAACTATGAGAACTAATCATAATCCAGCAACTACAAATGCATATTGGGGAATAAGATCATTTAATCTTTATATAGCAAAACACTGTTATGATGGTTGTGATCAATGCCGAAGTCTTTTAAAAACTGATTGTACTGCTTGTTTAAGTGGATGGGTCTTTTACAATAATTTATGCATTTTTCGTATTCATTAAATGTATTATAAGCATCTCCTATGTTGGGTATAACCATCAGAATTACTTAAATTAAAGATCCAAGGTCAAATGAAAGGATTCCTATGGAAATCAATCTATTAGAAACTAATTAATAAATAGTTACTTAAGGATCATTCACATATACAATTAATAATAATTTATCAATATTGAATATTAGAGTTTATGCAAAATGTTATCCAAATAAAAAAATGTAAAGCTATTTTATAAAGTGTATCGAATGCTAATCTTAAAATTAATATTAGTTTTAACATTATTGTTATGGAGCCATCAATTCTATAATCTATAATGCTAGATTTCAATAAATGACAGTTACAAATTAAAAACTGATAATAAATACATCTGATACAGAATGTTCAATATATCAAGTAGTAAATGTTGGTCCAGAATTGTTTCAAATTAAATTATTGGAAATTTTATAGAAGAATGTTTGAATCAATAAATTATATATTTATATTTTAATATATAATTTCAATTAACCAAAATTTAGAGCAAGCTATAGAAATTTTTGCAAAACATTAATTTTACTAAAATTTTGCAAAAATTTTCCTATTTAAAAAAAGTAATCTGTTACTTTGCCATTACTTTCTTCCTTTTTAGATTATTATTTGGTTATTCTACTAACATCTAAATTTTGTAAATTTATAAAACAACTTAGTCTAGTATCTAAAATTTTTCCAGTAAACTATTCTATTTTTTTTCTGTTGATAATTTTATAATTTTATGTTTAATTGATTATAAAACATAGATCAGATAGAGTTTTAAATAAAATTTAATCTCGAATTGGTGCAATATCAAGCAATCAGTTCTAGAAACTAGGTGGATGTTACTTGTTTTCTTTAAAAGTTGTTGATTCAGATAGTATTGTATGATAATAAATGGGTATTGACTAAGAAGGTTTTTATATATCTATCTTATCTCGACTTATCTTTAAATTTATTTTTTATTCCGTATTATCGCTCTTTCTGAGGAAAAATTGTCAAAATTAGATTAGCCTTAAAATGTATTCATCAAATTTAAGAATATCAATTGCAAATTTACAATTTCGAGACTCTAGCTTTTAATGGATGAGATATTTCAAATAAGAATGGGTTTAACCTAAGAGATTTTATGATTTGCAGTAATACCTGACATAATAATAATATTGATGTTGAATATGTATCATTATGGACGACCTTTGGGAAGATCGAGGTCTATACTTAACGGACCCGAGTGTTTGAATATATCGCTCCAAATAAAACTAATAGAGCAATGGGGCAGGTAATAATGTCATCTATGCTTAGTCTTAGGTGACCGAAGCCGTCTCAACATAAGAATAGTTCCAATTCTTAGATAATACTCTTCCATATCTCATCTCCTTTACCATTGTCAATCTTCTTCCAAAATAAAGTGCCTTTTCTAACTTCCAATTCCATTAAAAATCTATTGCTGCAAACAAACCATCAATCTGTCCCTTCAAGTCTTTTAGGCAATTTGGCAAATGGATAAAGTCGTTTTTAGTTATCAAATTGTGTTTGACCTCATATAAAATGGATTATCTTTCATTCTTGTAGCTAGCCTCTGTTGATCTATTAGATTTTTTCAGAAATATGCAATTCAGTTTTATAAAAATTAGAGGTAGTTATGACATCTATACAATTCCCCAAAACCTTTCAATCCTTCCAGAAATATATTCCCTGGAACTAAAGAAAGATTCCTCTTTAATTTCAAGATTGATATACTATTTTTTAGTTACTAGATAATATACAGAATAGGAATATAAGATTATAAGATATCAAAAAAAGAGTCTTAAGATTAGGGTGGAAGAAAGAATTTAAGGGCGAGAAAGAATAAATATAAAGGAATTAAAATACATTTCTCGTTTTAACAAAAACAAAAATTTGTAACTTTTGACCATCCATATGGCATGTGATGCTTACCAATTATAAAATACAAAAAAGTACAATTAGAATATGTCAGGTATAAAAAATAAAATGTCAAGAAGATACAATTCAGATTCCAAGGGGAACAGAGCTTCTTAAGGGTCTTGACATTCAACATCACCTGGGAGTAGTAGCTATAAAGACTCCCTAGCAGCTGAATCTTTAATCAGGGCATTTTTAGACAAAGGAAGGATGAGGCCCTATTTTAAAAGTATTATTCATTGGTGGTTCCGAACTAAAACAAGGAGAGTATGACTTAGCCCATAGAAGACTGAAGAACTGTTGGCAAGAGAGGAAGGAAAAGTTATATGGAATGAGAGTAGTCCTCAGGATTAAGATGGTGGACAAAGGATTGAATGTTGATGTAAATCTTAAATGGGTGAAACTCTCGATAATAATGGTACCCCTTATTGTCACACCGAAAATATGGATCAACAGGTAAGTGGAGGAAAAAAGATTTTTAAAAGATTTCCAGTTGGACTTATTTAGATATGAACACTTAGGTAAATAGAATTGTTAATTAATATGGGATATTAACTGTTTGGAGTTAAAATAAAATAAATAAATATCCCAACTTTCATTTATAGCAATAACAAATTAACTAAGTGATTATAATTTTCAATCAAAAAAAGATGTTATCAACTAAGTAAATAAATAAAAATTTGTGATATTATTTTTTATATCACTAATATTGTATATAAAGAATCTTTCTAAATAATTTGATTTAAACCAGAAAAAATTTGGAAGCAACAAATTAATATTGATAATTTTATTAAATTTAATGAAACTAAATATATTGATGTTTATGATATTATGTTTAGCTAACACATAAGAACAATGGGATATTATATACCAAAGCTTTCAAGATACTAACACAATGGATGCATCGGGTTATTTATATATTAAATTATTTAGGCTGGATTGTAAGTAATAATTATTTTGGAAATTTATTTTCAAATTGCTAGAATATTCGATTGTTTGGAGGAGAATACGCATTTGGAGCTGATACAATATTATCCAAGCTCTTTTCCTTACCTCCTCATTATTAAGTCGAAGTTACTTTAGAATTATGGAAGTAATTCTTATATAAAACGTAGAATTCACTAACCTAGTTATGAAGTTGTCATTATTGTCGACGGTATTACATTAGACTCAAAATCTTATTATTTGTGGATAGACTAAGCTTATTTTAAATATCTGGAACAGTCAAAAGATTGTCATCCATACAGTTATTCAAATGTAATGGATTCGGAATTTCAACAAATTACAATTAGAATGAATCATAATTCAGAATCGTTAACTTACATAATGACTTCAGATTACTCCTCCTATTATGGTAATTAAAAAGGATATTGGGGAATTAGAGATTTTACATTGTCAATAGTAAGATGTCCTTCTGGTTGTTTATATTGTTCAGACAATGATTATAATAATTGTTATTAATGGATAGGTGTTTTATCACTGTGGCATGAATCAATTAAATTAGATGGATGGGTGAAAAATGATAATATCTAACCTGCAACGTCTAAATGTGTAATTTTTGATCTTGTTGGAGGATACCCTAATTTACATTCATATGATAAATTAGAAAAAATTATACAAAACTTGAGTCCTCATTATAAAATCTCAATAAATTTCTAAATTTGGTAAATTGATAGATGGTAGTCTAATTACGAGTCCTTTTAGTTATTGGTAGATGATTAAATTTATAATTAAACTAATAACAGATTTACAGATTATTACTTAATGTGTGGTGGATTCTCGAGTTTGGTAAAAACATTTAATAGTGCAATTACTTTATCTCATTAGTCCTCACAATGTAAAATAACTATGACAAATAATGTAAATGGATCAAGAGCAAGTGAATATTGGGGAATAAGGGCATTTAATATATATATTGCAAAATGCTATAGTGGTTGCGATGAATGTCTTGGTCCTTTAAAAACATAATGCACTGTTTGTTCAAGTGGTTGGGTGCTTTTCAAGAATTTATGCACTCAATGTATTAATATTAACCTAACAGTATAGCTCCCCCTATTCTTTTATCACAAATTTAAACTATTTAAATTAAAGATCCATAGTCAGATGATAGAATCCCTATTGAGATCAATCTATTAGAAGTTGATTAATAAATAAATACTTAAGGTAATTTTACACTTTCAGTTAAGAATAAATTTAAATTCTTGACTATTTAAGTTAATGTAAAATGCCTTCCAAAAGGAAGAATTAAAAGTTTATTTTAAAGCAATAAACTATAAGATTCTTACTTATATTCATTTTTTTTAAATTGTTAGTAGGCTTTCAACACTGTAATTTATAATGTAAAATACGAATAAAGGATAATTACAGAATAAGAAATTATAGTTAATATATCGGATAAATAATGTGTAATTTATTAAGNTTCACTAACCTAGTTATGAAGTTGTCATTATTGTCGACGGTATTACATTAGACTCAAAATCTTATTATTTGTGGATAGACTAAGCTTATTTTAAATATCTGGAACAGTCAAAAGATTGTCATCCATACAGTTATTCAAATGTAATGGATTCGGAATTTCAACAAATTACAATTAGAATGAATCATAATTCAGAATCGTTAACTTACATAATGACTTCAGATTACTCCTCCTATTATGGTAATTAAAAAGGATATTGGGGAATTAGAGATTTTACATTGTCAATAGTAAGATGTCCTTCTGGTTGTTTATATTGTTCAGACAATGATTATAATAATTGTTATTAATGGATAGGTGTTTTATCACTGTGGCATGAATCAATTAAATTAGATGGATGGGTGAAAAATGATAATATCTAACCTGCAACGTCTAAATGTGTAATTTTTGATCTTGTTGGAGGATACCCTAATTTACATTCATATGATAAATTAGAAAAAATTATACAAAACTTGAGTCCTCATTATAAAATCTCAATAAATTTCTAAATTTGGTAAATTGATAGATGGTAGTCTAATTACGAGTCCTTTTAGTTATTGGTAGATGATTAAATTTATAATTAAACTAATAACAGATTTACAGATTATTACTTAATGTGTGGTGGATTCTCGAGTTTGGTAAAAACATTTAATAGTGCAATTACTTTATCTCATTAGTCCTCACAATGTAAAATAACTATGACAAATAATGTAAATGGATCAAGAGCAAGTGAATATTGGGGAATAAGGGCATTTAATATATATATTGCAAAATGCTATAGTGGTTGCGATGAATGTCTTGGTCCTTTAAAAACATAATGCACTGTTTGTTCAAGTGGTTGGGTGCTTTTCAAGAATTTATGCACTCAATGTATTAATATTAACCTAACAGTATAGCTCCCCCTATTCTTTTATCACAAATTTAAACTATTTAAATTAAAGATCCATAGTCAGATGATAGAATCCCTATTGAGATCAATCTATTAGAAGTTGATTAATAAATAAATACTTAAGGTAATTTTACACTTTCAGTTAAGAATAAATTTAAATTCTTGACTATTTAAGTTAATGTAAAATGCCTTCCAAAAGGAAGAATTAAAAGTTTATTTTAAAGCAATAAACTATAAGATTCTTACTTATATTCATTTTTTTTAAATTGTTAGTAGGCTTTCAACACTGTAATTTATAATGTAAAATACGAATAAAGGATAATTACAGAATAAGAAATTATAGTTAATATATCGGATAAATAATGTGTAATTTATTAAGTAATTAAAGTTATTGACGAATTACCTTTTTTTATCAAAATTTTGGAAATTATAATAGAAGATTTTTGAATATATATTATATATGATATTTTTTATTCAAAGCACTAAATGTATTACATTTTTTTGATCTCTTTAATAATGTTAGATATTTAATAGGTCAAATGGCATTTTTTAATTAATATCTATTGCATTTCCTTAAGTATCCTTTATTTTGCATAAAGTTGACCCATTTATATGTTTTTTTCTTTAGAGATTATCTCCAAAACTATCACCCTTATCTAGATTATCCAGAAACAAAATAAAAGATATGTATATACTTTTAATATAATTGATATTTGAAGTATTAAATAAGGTTTCTTAAATTGCAATTAAAAATGTATTAAAAATAATTGTTAATATAAATATTAAAAAATAAAGAATGGAATAATTATAAAGATAGCCAGCTAAATAACTTTATTTTACAACTGAATTGTTTAAGAATAAATTCATAACAGAAAAAGAAAAAATTCAATTAAAAGAATTTATTATTGCATAAGATGATTTCTTAACCTCATATTTTGATTAATATGAAAGAAGTGATATTACAGAATAAGAATTAAGAGAAGTATAAAAATAAATATCAATTAGAAATTAATCAAATTAGTTAGAGCAGACTATTTTAAAGACACCATATATAAGCAAAATTGAATTTTATATTTTTCTAAATTATTGTTATTTATTAAGATTTATAATAGTAATAATTATATCAATAAAAATCAATATAAAATGATCAAATTTATTCTGCTTTCAAATTAACTTAACATATCATCATCTTATTTGTATTCCTATGGTTTTATAAATGAATAATGTAATTCAAGTTGAACAAAAACAGAGCTTTTACATCATCAAAAAGTGATTCTATATTTAAATCTTTAGACTACTCATACTATAAAAATGATAAGTTTAGGGTTGTACACATCTTTATGAATTTCGAATTGGAACATGTTCATTAGTCATTCTCTAATTGCATTTAAAATGTAAAGTTGTAGATTATTCATTTAATTCAAGGTGATAAATATAATATTGTAAGTCAGCATTATCATAAAAACTGGTGCTATATGTTTTACAAATTCCAATTCTGAATATATAAACGAAGCAAAAACAAAAGATTTGCTCTAATCTTGATGTAAAATATTAAATATTAAAGCAAATGAAGAATCAAAAAACATAATGATACATTATTTCAATTAAGATAAAATTTGTAAATTTAAGAAGATAAGAAATAAGAAACTCATCCATGAGATTTTAGTGGCTAAATACAAAAAATAAACATAATAAAAAAGACTAAAAGTATAATAACTCAGAATAATGTGGGTGTCTACCTCAACAGCGGAAAAAGTAAATTATTAAGATAAATGCAATAATTTTCAAAATTTTTGCTATGAAAAAGAATAAATATTCATGATGTTGTTTTGCAGTTTATATAAAAAGGTGGTTTAATAGAGATTAAGTGAAGGTATATTAAATATATAGGAATGTCGAGTATATTGTGAGCTATAAGTAATTTTATATTTATATTGGCTAATATGTGGATCTTTGAAAAGAAGACCAAATATATTTTTTGTTGTGAATTAATAAAAAATATTATATGTATAATCCTGTAGAGTATTATTATTCCAACGATTACTACTTGTCATAAATCACAAATAGTAACTTTAATCGAGTCAATACTTCCTACTCTCCTAAAAAAGTTATGATGAGCATATCCAGAAATGATTGCAAGCCATTTATTAAGCAAAAAACCCTTAACTTAGAGTCAAAAGAAATTCATCCCCACATTGTTAGACATAAGTGTATTAAACAATCTTTCACTAAATTGGCAGAATCTATTCTTAGTGTCAGTAATTGTTTCGATAACATTCCAAACACATCCACAAAAACTGATAAGTTTGTTTAAAAATTAAAGCCTAAAATAACTACTCCTTCTCCTACTCCTCCAAAACCTCATAATCATGAAATACATAGAATTCCAGGTAGACTTCACAAAGGGGCATTGCTAAGAAATTTTGATAATTCAATAAATTAAATTGATAAATCCTATATTTTAGACTCTAAATAAGAGTTAGGAACATTGTCAATGAGTCCTAAACCTAGGGTAATTGATTGTTTTCAAGAATAAGTGAGATAAAAAAATTAGCAAATATCAAATACTGTTAATATGGTAAGTCATTTTAAAGAATTATAGCAATAACTTACAATAAGAAAATCAATCTTAAATAATGAAATATCTACTAATACTCCTAAGCAACCAAGTTCCAACATATTAGATTAAACAATTCAAGCAATGAAGGTTGATTGTTTTTACACTAAATTGAGTCTTAATAATATTAATCACTTAGTTATGATATAATTTGAAAATGTTTTGGGATTTGATGAATCAAGTTACTTTGGATTACAACCTGATTTCTTAACTAGTAAACAATACGATGAATATGTAGTTTTAAGAGATCATTATTTTTAAAAGGTTTCTTCATCTCAATCATTTTATATACTGAAGAATTTCAAAGAATTATTTAATTCTATTTCTCGTGTTTATTAAGTGTGTTTATACACAATTCATTATCCTTAATTACTAAAAGAATTTCTATAAGAAAGAAAATTAAGAGTTAATTGTGGATTTTAAATTTTGAACTATAAATTTGATACATTTGTAGTGGATATTAGTCAGGTTTTTACTGATCTCTAGATAGTGATGCCAGAGTTATTAATACTAATCTAACCCTTTCAAATATTAGGTTAATAAGAATCACAGATCAGTAATAATTCAAAAATTCCATATTATGAATTTCATGGTTAGCGGTTCTTTCTACCATTTTCAGGAGAAATTCATCCTAATAATTGCAGACTTTTAGCCTTGCCTCTATTATCTATGGAATCCTTATTAAAATAAGACGAATAAAGTAAAGGATTTGTTCAAATTAGTTATTTTATAGAGTAATTTACTTTGGCTTTGTAAAGTGAAAGTTACTTTGTAAAGTTTCTTAATAAAAGCTAGAATAGAATAAAAACTATTGATTTATCAAGGTATTTTAGATAATAAAACTAAAAAATATTGCAATAGTTATTTTTCATAGACACTTTAAAGATCTAAGAACAAAAATAGGATGAATTTCATATGAAAAAGAAGGAAATGATACAAAGAATCATTTAAAAATTTGATCATTCAAAATAAATTGAATAATATACAAATGATTTGATGTTTAGGAATAAAGATATTTTTAAGAAAATGAGAAATTACAAATAAGAAAACGTGAACAAATTGCATAAATTATAATAGGACCTTTCTCAATAAGTAATTAGATATAATTATTGCGAAATGTTTGTTGATACAACATACTACTTAGCGTATTGATATATATGCTTTTTATATTGTAAATACTCATTCTTTCATTTCTTAAACAATCCATTTCTAATGTCTGGCAAGAATTCTTGTAATGAAAGTTCCAATCTGTCATCCAAAGTGTTAGAACAAACAATTCTACTGTTAGCACAGCTCAAAACAACTCCTCCCAAACTAAAATAAGATTATATCTAAATTTTACATTGGTTTACCCCCCTTCTCTGTTAGATATTAACTCTAATTAATGCTTAATGTTGTCTTAAAGTCTTTGGTTGTTTCTCTCTTAATGATTACAGTGAATTCTTCTTAACATTCGACCAAAATGGTTCTGATGAGTTGTACATCTTATTCTAAGCAGGTCAATTCAATTCTGGGCTCAAGCAACTTAATCATTCCTTATATTATCAAGTTCTTTAGTAATTCTTTATAGACACTTTAATCTTGTATCAATTTTGCCATCTTCTAACGAACTTCCTCTTTAAGTCTTTGGATTAACTCAAAACGTGCTTGCATTTTGGACAATCTTGATTGGTTGATTTTAGATGATCGTTGACTACACTTACTAAATATCTTTACATTCTCTTTTCGATTGTGTATGACTCAATCTTCTTCTTGTATTCTTCAATAATCTTCTCCTTCTGTTAATTGAGTAGCTTGTTCTTTTCGATTCTAAACTATTAAGCAGCCATGTCCTTGATTTATTCAGCTTTCTCATTGGCCTAAACAAATGACTTTTCATCAAAATTACCTCTGCTTTTATGGCATTGACCATCTTCTTTACTCTTTCTTATGGATTAAAATCTGCCATGTTATTTTATTTATGAATAAAATTCCAATCTATTCACCCAATAAAGATAACTCAATTAAGTAATTATAAGTTATTCAAGAGAGGAGTATTCAATTAAATCACTTTACATTATCAATCATTAAGATAGGACTTAATTTAACAATTTGATTCAATATGTAGAATCTTTTAACTCCATATATTCCAATACTAGAAATTTAGGGTATCTTATAAAAAATTAAATTCATTTTAACAGGTACTCGAATTTATAAATAGTATCAAAATCATTTGATATCCATCATAAAATTTTAGATTATATTATAAAATCTACTCAAATTTTATAGATTTCAAAAGGAAAACCATACCATTTTCTATCTCAGATGTAGGAAATCTTGAAAATTAATTAAAATCTATTTCCTCCACAGTTATCACTTAAATTAATGTCAAATTCCTTTTATTTAAGAAATATAGGAATATCAATTGGATATCCTCCACTTAGAGACATCATCATGATGTACATTTATGAGAACATTTGAAAGAGATTAGTTTTATTAATAAAGAGATATGAGTAAACAACGAATAAAGTATGAAAAATCATAGTTTTAAATAAATGCATGGTTTATGATATTATATCTTGATTATTTGTACATTTATTGAAAGAACTCAGGAATATTAAGTTGTAAGTAAATTATAAATGGAAGCTACTTTAAAATTAGACATAGACCCGCAGCAAAATACAAGGGATCTAAAATTATGATATTATGATCTAAGACTTTTTAGATCACATATTTCATACTTGTAAAGTGATGGGATGAATCAGATTAAAATATTATTTTCCATACTCTTAAGGTTCAATTAAAAATCTATAATGATGTCATGAAAAACAGAGAAATTCAAAGATAAAATGAACATATTTAGAATTAGTTATTGGAGAATTATTTCAGATGAACTTTGCTTTTAGGAATACTAAAGATCAAAATTGATTAGTTTTGTGATGATTATATTAGATGTTCGAGTATTATAATGTGTTTTAAATTAACAATTTCTTTATAACTAGAAGGAATTTAGATAATCTTAATATAATTGCTAAATCTAAATAAATCTTCATAAAAATAAATGTTGAGACATCTATTTTCATGTAATTGTAAGTTTACAATCTGTTATAAGAGTAGTAAAGTAGCAGTATGATATAATTATTGGAAAAATATTAAATAAACTCATTTGGTGCAATTAAGGCGAATGAGTATCCATCAGCATAGATAGTTTTCTATGAATGATTCAGTTTGATGCTATCTGAGTAAAATTTCACTATCTTCGAAAGTATCTGATTCACTTTTGATCAAATTCACATAATTTATAGACTGTTATTAAGATATGTTTTCTTTCCATTATAAGATGAATTTATTCTTTTAATAGACTATTATAATATTTCTAATAGCATTACCTGAAGGTCGCTTGTTAATTAAATTTAGAATAATAGATTCTTAATCTGCTGCAGCTATCTACATCTGATTCAAAGTATCATAATGCTTTTGAATTCTAAGAGTGTTGCCTCTGGTCTTTTTGATCTTTTTAGATGGTTTCAGTTAAAAGAAGCACTCAGATTCATTGTCTTCAATCATTTATTATTTTAATGATTAATATCTCTAAGCATATCCAAAGGCATTTAAGTCCGTATGATAAGGGAATTTAACAAAAATAATGCATACTATTATTTTGGATGACTGCAGGAATGAGAATGAACAATTGGTTAAATTAATTGAGTTTGGGTTTGGGCAAAGGCAGGAAGATATCTCAAAGAAAATATGATGAAATATTTATATATATTTATGCAAATACTAACATATTCATGTGATTGCAATCATTTGAAGAAATATAATTTATCCTAAAATAAATATAAATGATTTGATATACAAATTTAGCAAACAATTCTTTACTCTAACCTGAATGAGTGGTAGAGTTGTAGATAAGATGCAAATAATATCCAATTTCTTCTTTGACTCTCTCTTGCCACAATGGATACTCTTTCAATTGATCCAAAAGATTAATGTACTTATTAATGGCTTCCTCCAGGTGATGTTCATAAGTTAAGGTGGTGTGTTCACTTCTGAACCAAGTATTGTGAGTGGCGATTTCTTTGGTTAATTCCAAATAGAGTGATCTGTATTCCCAAGTTGCTCTATGCAAATCCAGGATGAAAGAGTATAGGTTTTCAAATTGAACAAACTTATTTCTTGCCAATTCGTATTATTCCTTTTCACTTTATGCATATTGAATATATAAATAGTTACAATGATTCAAGTCTGGGAGTCCAGTTTCTAGCAATGTGAGAGTAGAATCTGCATTCATAATAACTCATGGGGTCTCTTTCCAAGAATCCTTCTTCAGGGTCTTAGAACCCTGCCTTACACATTTCAGTCATTATTCTATCCACTTACACTAAAAATCAATAGACACAAGCTTTACATGAGTAGTTGATGACTCTGCTCTTAATGAAATATGAAGCAAATCTTGTTACGATGGACATCCTTTATTATAATTAATAATAAATTAATATATTTAAAAGACAAGAAAACTCTATGTTTCAAAATTAAATCTGATATTGTTTTATTAATTTAAGGATATATTTATAAATGGGTTCAGTCTGCTCTGCCTAAAAGAATCAATCAAAATCGCGCTCTTAAAATGAGGAATTAAAAAACAACAATTAACCATATTTAGAGGCTTCTTCCCTCATTGGTCAATCCTTACCTATGGAAAACAAACAAGACGCTGCTCTTGATTAATATGTCCAGGATTTATTATAGCTCTTTAAGAGGTTCTGTATGTTTCTTGATCTTGTGGGTAATTTAGATCAACTTCCACAACATACCAGAGAAAAAATAAATAATTGCATCATTGTTAAATAAAATATTTCTATTATCATACAAAACAACATCAAGCGAGTCATGAGGGAGTAGTAAATCATAAAACGAATAGATGAATCAGATTATTATCTTATATATAATGATCGTAAATTTGCAAGTGCTTTCAACTAAATGATGTAGAAACTCTCCAATATCATTATAAACGAGCTTAAGCCAGATGAAGATTTCCAATCAGCATTCCCTATCTTGGCAGTGTCTTTTGAGGAGGAGGCCCAAAAAATTAATTCAATTGTGGAGAAAATCAAAAATATCTAAATTATTGCAATGCGAAAAGGAAGTTCTTAGCATTCGCTTTCCATTAATCAAGTATAATCAAAACGAAAATCTTCCTAGCAATGAAATAAAGTTATTTATTTCATCATTCAAACTTTTTATTGATATTATTAATTGCACTCTTTTTGTTTTTATTAAAATGATTGATTATTAAAATTTGTTGACAATCTAAAAATTTGATCCAAATTTCTTCTTGAATTTATAAAATCATTAATTAAAGCTATTCTGCCATTTATCTACATAAATATGATAATTAAGTATCTTTCAATTCTTGAAAAATATTGATAATGTTTATGTATAATTATATATATATAATTAACAAATTAACTGTTAATGGATTAGATTGATAATTTTAGTATGGCAAGCATTAATGAAAAAGAAATTGAAAATAATTTGAAAGACTTATTGGAAAGGGTTTTGCTTAACATCGAGAAATTTATTGAAACTAAGGAGGAATTGAATTAAGTTGAAGCTGAATTAAAAGATTATGAAAGTTTAACTCATTTGATTGGTATAATCAAGGCAGTCTTTACAAACCTTATGATGAAAGTAGAAAAGAAAATATCGTAAGTAGTTAATTAAAATATTAACAAAGCAAATTAGAAAAATAAATTGATCCAAACTATTCAATAACCAAAAGTTTGAGGTCTGATGAAGAATACGAAAAACTAGAACAAACTCTAATCAAATATGAAAGTGAGATCAGAAATCATATTAGAGTATTTTATTAATTAATTATATCTAGATTGAATAATAACTTAAGTTATATGCTGAGTCTATCCAAAATAAATTGGATGAAAGTGAATCTAGTAGAACTGAACTTCTTGAAACCACCAAAAAGTTAATTAGCGTATTGATTACTCTAAATTATAGAATTTAAAAAGAGAAAATTAAACATATCATGAAAGTTAGTAGAAATTGAATATAGAGATTGCTAGCTTAAAATAAGTTATTAATAATTTGGAAAAGGATAATAGGAGGAAATCATTAGATTTAGGGTAAAGAGATTACTTAAAGAAAAATCAATAACCAATTATCTAATAACTATAATTGTAAAGTAGATTATTTCTATTATTTTTCAGATCAAAGGAATTAAAAATCTTACTCTGAACATAAATTAAACTCTTAAATTACTCATACATCTAATACCCTTGAAACTAATGAAATACCAGTCAAATCATAGTAATCTTTGAAATAAAACTATTACAATATCATCAATTACGGACATCAAGGGAATAAAAGCGATGTCTTAAAAGTTATTTAACAAAAAGACTTGAACAAAATATATGGCTAAAAATTAAAAAGCAAAAATAATTCACTCTCTACTATTTAAGATCTAATCCAAAGTGTTTCAGTTTAGGACAGAAAAAAAGGAATAATTAGCTAACCAGTTTCAAAAAATAGCTCATAAAATAATAGTTAAATCTAGAAATACAAAGGTACCATCTCTTAATGAATTTAGAAACATGCGATTAGAGTAGAAGTAAAAGTTCTAGAAGAGCAAATATAGGAACTAAACATATTTAAATAGAATCTCAGATTAAATTAACTAGCTGAATATACTTAATATTTAGACTATTATAATATTCATTTAAACCTAAACCCTTTATAAAAACACAAAATAAAATCATTTCTTCATTTTATTTATTGATTACCTCCAAAAATTAGCACTATCTTGAATTTCCGATATTAGTTTCCATTTAGATAACGTTGTTCTAAGTGGATTTACTGCTGTTTGCCTCTAATTTTCTTGAGAATTAGACTTTCTCTTACTCGCCTTATTATTTTTCCTGTTAGCCATTCTAAGATTTAGAGCTATATTTTGGTCATTTAATTATTTCTTAATTGCTTCATCATACTCCTTTGAAATTTGATCATACTATTATAAAAGAGTGTTAACATCAATCTTTTAATCATGCTGTCTTCCTTACACTTCCATACAGATTTCTCTTTCCTTAGCTTAATGCTTTTTAAAAACACTAAATCTCATATTAGAATTTGAGTCTAAGTTTTACTAAAGAAAAGGTCGATTAAATCTGGTTTCCTCCTCAAACTTTAACTGATCCAAATTTTGACCACAAGCAATAGAAGTGAATCTGTTTTGTATAGCAGTTGATTCTTCATTATCTTCCATCATTAATTTCATGGTTTCTGGTCTGCTCAATAGAAACTAGATTTTTTCTAAGAAATAATCTTTTAAGCTTTATTGGTCTGAGTCAAGTTACTCAACGAGATAACAATAGATTTCTACAGTCTTCGTAATATGTTCCAAACTATAAGTTCTTTCATGAAAGATAGCTTCTAGTTGTAATAGCAATGCCAACTTTGACCCATCTATTTGTTCCTTTTAAATTTTATTCTTTTGAATCGATTTCTCTTGTTATTAATAGTGTTTTGGAGATGATAAAGCATTTTACATGGCTTGAACAAATAACATACAATATATAAATTAATAACAAAATCATTAGAAATTAATGAAATATCAATTTCTCAAGGGATCTTTGATGATTTTAGGATATCAATTGTTCGCATATTAAAGCTTGTAAATAAATGAGATAAAAGAACATCAAATAATTTATAAAAGTAAGTATATTATATTATAATTTTATTAAAACCTTTAGTTCATGATCATTATTATTATTAGGTAATTATTTTCCTTATTGATTTGACATTAATACTAAGTCTAAATTGAACTAATAGTTTACACTTAGTGTTAAGTGTTATTATTAATATTATACATTTATTAATATATCGCCTTTTTTCCAAAATTCACGATCCAAGGAGATTTGATAATTTCTTATTAATTTATTATTCGTTTTTCATTATTGAGTTTTATATTAATCAAATAGTGACCCTTTGAGAGTCTGTATTTTGTATATTAATGATTACTATGCATCGAATTTCTGGAGAACTCCAAGATACCATTATTAATATATAACTCATAATAGTAATGATTCTGAAACAATGAGATTATTAATTAATGTTGAAAATATTTTATTTTATAATAAACTTAATTAATATATTATAACTTTTCAACAAATTAGATAGTCTTCGTTATCAATATAGATTATACAAATTTTACATAATCATTCGATTATTTTACGAAATTTACAATTATTTAAGGGCACTAAATATTCTAGAAGCTATAAATTAAATAGAGAATGAAAATTTAAATTAGAGCTTAGAGTGTTGAAATGATTTTCTAAAGCTATTTAGTAATTGAAAATTAATTTAATAATGATTAAGAAATTAATTAATTGATTAATATTAAAGTTCGATTACTTTCAGTGTAATATTGTTTGATTAATTTTATTTGAAAAATTTACATGAACAAGAAACATCTTTAACTAAAATAAATAACTTCAGATCTTGAAAGCGAGAACAGAAAATAAGATTATAAGAGATTGTCGTCTGAAATCGAATAGATGCTATCATCTCCTGAAATCAAGAAGTTCGAAGCCTTTCTAATTGAATCACTGACTTTTAAACAAAGACTTTCAGAGAAATTTTCATAATTTACTCCAATAACGTTAAAATAAACATCATTTTAATGTGAAGATGATCTTAGATGGAATCGCTCAGAAGGAATATGACCATATAAATATTAATTTTTCCTTATCATATTATATTTTCAAGTATTTATATTTTTGTAAATTTACGTAATATTAAATGGCATTATAATAATTATAAAGGTATGAAGCTGATGAAAATTTGTCTAAATTTCTCAATAAAGAATTAGGAAAATCACTAAAGTTCCAAAAAAAGCATGTAACTATTTGATTATATAGATTAGGAGAAGGAACTCAATAATTTGTTATCTTACCAATAAAAACTGTAGGACGACAAACTAAAGAATGAAAATAAGTTGCACTAGATGTTCTACAAGGAGAAATTGATTGATCATTAAAAAAAACAAAAGGAAGATTTTGTATAATATTATCCTTTTTATTTTAGTTGAAAGAGCAAAAGGTTAATAAGGATCACTAATATTTGTATAAACAAAAAGAAAATGAATACATCGATGCTTTAGATGCAAGCTGGTGCTTTTATTAAGATTATTCTCCTTCAAAAGATATGAAACCATTAAAAGTAGATGCTGAAAGAGAAAAGGTTTTACGATTCTTATTCAAACAACTCCAAACTACTACTGATAATGTTGAAAGAGCACTTATAAAAAAGAAGATCAATAAATTTAGAGATTCGGAAGTACAATTCATGTCATAATTTTTATTAGATATCTAAAAAGAAATTAAATCAGATTGATCATAAATTGGAATATGCAAAGTAAGTAAGAAGTGAATCACTTGATAAATCTATCGATAAGATCAGAATGCATGATATCCATATAATAGATGTCCAAGAAAAAAGTAATCTCTTAAATCAAGAGAAACAATCTTATTATATTGATAAAATCAATTAAATCGAATAGAAAATATAGATGATAGAAAAACAATAACAGCATAATAGGCTTGACAGATTAAATATGGAATATTAAAAAGAAGAGTATCGGTAAGCAGTGAAATCCAATTCGTAAAATTTGTTGCTTTAAAAAGAATTAATTAATGAGAATCAATTCAGTCAGAAAATATATAAATTAAACTTTCTTGCAGATCAGAAATAAAAATTATTGAAACAAAGACAAGAAATATTGGATGCATTAAATTAAAAAAGAATTATAGCTCGACAATCTTTGGATGATGTTAAATATCCTTAGTTAAACTCGAATAATTATAAAGCAATATACTTTTGAGTTAATATGTCTCATTAAATCAAAATTATATATATATATCATCTTTTATGATATTTATAATAAATATAATTTATCTCTCTCTAAGTTAGAGATTACAAAGTAAGGCTATTGAATGAATGCAATGAAATGTTCAAATAAATATAATTTTAATTTTTACCAAGATGTTAATGATTTTTATATTATTATTAAAAAATAATGAGGAAAAATTATATCAAATTACAATCCGATTCAGAGTTTAAATAAGAAGAAACCAAAACTTTTGATGAAGTTAAATACACTATCTTTAAGACTTATTTTGCCTTATTAGAATCAAAAACATTATCACAAAGTAAGGGTATTCTAATGATATTGATTTTGAATTTACAATTAATATTCATGACTGCAAATGATAAGAATACTGATTTGTAAAGTGGATTTATTTCAAGTATTCGTATTCAAATAATTAGGTTTTTTACCAATCAGTAATTATTTTTTACTTTATCCTGTATTATTGTCATCAGATTCGATTTTATTTAATATGCTATTCTTGGTTATTGCTCTTTTAGTTTTAATATTTCTGATCACATCAATTCTGTATTTTGCCTCTACAAGTAATTACGATAATCCACTGGTCAAATAATTGAGATCAACTTGGGGATTTATTTCAGAATTGACTGATAAAATATTGGTGGTGCCAGTATTTGGTTTGACAGTGGGCAATATAGCTTGCAACTTTGAAAACAATCAAACAGAATGTTATAGTGGTGTGCATATAGGATTGATAATTATGTCAATATTATGCTCTTTAATGTTACTGTTATTGGAAATATTGTATTCGTATTTATTCTTTAATTTTACTTTCAAAATCAAGGACTCTGTGTCTAGAAACCCATGTATAATAAACATTTATAATGATAGCTGGGATGCCAATCTTTTTTTTTATTTACAGACTCGGAATCACCATATTTTAATCGCTATTTGATTTGGAAGTCCAATAAACATACACGATATTAGTATTATTACATCTGATATTTGGACTCATTTTGCTATACGACTCTCTAAATAATTTTCCATATCACAATAAAAATGTCTCTAAAACTTAAGGTATTTTTGCTTCTGCCTATTTGTGGATCAATGCTACTTTTATAGTTCTACAACTAACTTCAATTGAGATGCTGCATGAAAATGTATTAGTGATAGTTGGCTTGGGAATGGCCTTCTTCTTAAAATTATTTCTGAACATTAGAAATTATTTTGTCAAAGTGTTGATGAATAGTGAATTAGATGAAATTCAGAGTGCTGTGTTATTAGATCTAAAAATTAGAAATTATAATATCTTATCTAAATCAGACAATGAGGAAAAGAAGAATGAATTACTTTTAGCATCTTTATTAAAGATCCACTCTGACAAATGCAAAAATAGTACTTGTCCATGCAAAAAAAGAAGTGCACTTATAGATCCTAAAAAGAAAATCATTCAAAGTGAAATGAAAGCAGCTTCAATTACAGATACTAAGTTGTTAAAACAATAGAAGAATGATCAAAATACTTAATTACATAAGGATTTAGTGTTTGTCAAGCATTTTATTGCTAGAATGGCTAAGGATGGGTTAAATAAGTTCAAGGATTCAAAATTGTTGTATCTTGATTACATGTATTACAGATTTGAAGCACTCAGAATGTATTCTTCAATTTACTTTGAAATTGGTAAATTTGAATCCAAATATCATAATGATATGAGTTTGTCAATTGAATTCTGTCTATATAGATTGAGAGCCAGAATGAAGAAGCATTTAATGAATCGAAATCAAAAAAGCGAGATCTCTCGTAGACTATAATTAGAAAATGTGAAAGCTTTTGATGAAGGAATTATAAGATAAAAGGAAACTATTATGGAGGCTAATAAACATCTAAATGATCTTTGGGAATCACTATGCGAAGAAAAGCCAGATCTGAGCAAATTATTAGACATTGGAAACAATGCTATTAAAACTATGCAATTAACTAATGATTAATATGAGTTTTTACTTCAACTAAATAATTAATCTTAGGATCTCAAGAATTTAATGACTATTTATTCCAATTATTTAGCCTATGATGATTTACTGGCTAAGAAAATCGAAAAAGATATTGACCAAGCTAAGGATATGGAAAATGATAATTCATTTTAATAGGATTTTAATATTTTGATAAAGAAATACCAAATTTTTGATAAGTAGAGTTGTGTGTTATCAATATCTTCTTAGTTGGAATCTTTGGGTTAGATTACTTGGTGTAGTAGAAATGTATTTAATGTGTTTGGCTATGATGAAACTGATCTTAAATCTATGAATATCAATTAGATGATGCCTGAACCTTTGGGTAATTGCCATAGTAAGATTCTTAAGAATTATTATGAAAATGCAAGAGAATTATTGACTACTAAGATGACTCACATTTGGGCTATTGATAGAGCAAAGATACTGTTTTCAGCCAATATTTTTATTAAGATTTTACCTTCTTTGTAATCATATGATATTGTGGGATTTATCCATAAACTCAATTAGGATGATTACATAATTGCAGATGTAGATGGGATGATTTATGGAGCTGGAAGAAAAGTGTGTTAAGCTCTAGGATTGCCACCTGAAAAGATATTGGAAACAAAGGTTAATATCTAATTGATTGCTCCTGGATTTTACTCAGTCTTTTCAGATTACTTTTTAGATTTCGACATCACAGCAAACAAACAAAATGATGGCAAAGGAAAGTTATCATATGATGAATACAATTCTGCAAATAAACAATTAGAAACTAAAGATATGAAGCAAGTTATATTCATTCAAAAGGAATTTGAAAAGAGAATACAAAGTTTTGTTGAGTATAGAACAAGACTATTTAAAAAGTTTAATATAGATATTTTAACCAAGGAATAGTTATCATAAGAATTTGGATAATCGGGTAATGATTAGAAGAACATTAAACTCATTAAATAATGTGCTGAATTCAAAAAGGAATATGCTGCATTATTCTATAAGTAGAATAAGAAAATACTTATTGACTCTTTAATTAAAATGATTAAAATTAAAGTGTAAATCAAAAACTTCACATATTGGAATGGTAGTAAATTATAAAGATTAAAAATTATCAAAGTTAATACCTATGAATTTAAAACCACTGAATACATTAAAGTCAATAGGAAGAAGATTAAGGAATAAGGAGAAAAGGTATCTTAAGTTTATAAGAACTTTTAAGATGCATATAACACCTTCAAATAAAAAAAGATGAAATAAAAAATGTAAGAGGAATAAGATAATGCTGAAGAAATTGAAGCAGGAAGAGCTGATGGAGGAGAAGACAACCAGGAAGGGCAATAAGCCAAAGGCTTTTTAAATATGTTTAAAAAAGCTAACAAAAATAACAGATCTTCCTTATTATAATTGAATGTCAAGAGATTAGGTGGTAAGGGAAAATAAGTTGAAGATTAAGAACAATTGAAATAGGGTATTTTGATGACTCTCTTCAAACCTGTTTCAAAGAAAAATAAATTTAAGAGAGTATCAAAACAACAAGGCAGTATGGCCTAAGTTTAATATGAATCAAAATAATTTAAAGATGAGGATGACGAAGAGAATGAAAAAAAGAAAATAGAAGCCACTCCAGAATAACTAGAAGCTATGAGGGCTTGTCCAGCTGTAAATCTGCTTTAAATTGCTCTCATCAAAGCTAATATCTTAGGTTAAACTGATATGAGTGCATTTTTGGAAAAGAAAAAAAAGTTGTAACCAGTTGATCCTCTAGCTATTAAATTTAAAAGAATAAGAGAATTTGTAGCTACTGACAAATTTAAGACCTTTGTATAAGAAGAAAAGAAACGAGCTGAGATGAGTAATGATACACATTCTACAAATACTGATCAATATGATTAGGAGGATAGATCATAGTCTTTTGATGAAGATCAATAAGAGGAAAGAGGGTTGCTGTAGAATATTCTCAATAATCAAGGAGCAAATGAGGAAGAGAAGGCTGCAATGTAATCTGTTAGTAGTTCAAGTAATTAATATTTTTATGTTAGCCTAATCATTATAAGCTCATAATGCATAAAGAATGTTGAGAGAACAGTTAAAGAACATGCAAGCACCTACAATTTTGATTGTTGCTCATTATACTATGGTAGTATTAAGTTTGTTGTTATTTTCTTTAATAATTTCATAGTATATATTAGCAAACAACGATTTTAATGGAATTAAAGATGAATTGTATATGTTTGAAAGAATGAGTAATTACTCTGATAATTTAATTGAAATTTTGGATGGTTATTTTACACTCCAAATGATAAATGAAGGACCTCTAAAAAATACAACTATTTATGGGTCTGAATGGGTTGCGTAGTTTAGAAAAATGATACTATAAAACTAAATTGATACTGTCTAATTCTTCTTGGATGATTATAGTAATGCTGGAACCCAATCTAAAAGCGGTAATGACTTAAGATAGTATCTATTTATTTAAATGAATGCCAATATGCTTGTAAACAATCAACCAACTGAATTCTTATTTAATTATGAAAACTATGTTAGATTAATTTTGAATGCCGCTAATGCTACCAAAGATCTAAACATATCATCTTTTTCTATGAATAATAGGTAGGATTACTTCTATTTTATCTATAATAATTTGAATGAGTTTGATAATATCACAGATTATAATTATAATCTAATCACTTAAATCCTGATTAAAAGTAAGGATTTGTTAATAGAGAGATTTTATTATTTCTGGTTTAGTTGCTTTGGTATATTGCTATTATTATATATCCTTATTTATCCAATTATTCTAAAAACGAAATTAAAGATCTAAGAAACTTTAAGAATTTTCACTAAAATATCCTTAGCAGATGTTGAATATTATTCAAATCATTATAAAATGATCTTCTATAATATGAGATAAATTACAGATACACCTTAAGTTTTGAAGAAAATTGAAGAGGAAGTAACTAAAGGAACAGAAGAAAAGAAGAAAAAAGACAAAGAAAATAATGCTAAGAACTTAGCCAGATCAAGAAGTCATAAAGGAATTTAAATAAATAAAGTAGTGTTTTTTGCAGTAATGACATTTTGGTTGATCATCTTTTCTGGTTTGATTTTTGTTAAAGATTACTTCATAATTTTATTTAGTAGTGATTTAGAGGAGCTATTCTCTTCCTAAGAATAACAACACAGATTAAAATATAATTCTGAAAGAGACTTTGTCTACTTCAAAAATCTCTATTACTAATAATATATTTCTTAATTAAATTCAACTTAACTAAATCAAGTATTGACTGAAATAGATAGTGAAAATATATACTCCATATTCTAAACTATGTATCATTAATTAGAAGGATATTCCACTGACTTTGCTGATTTAGTAGACTTTTATAGTACAAATAATACATGTAGTTCTATTGCTCCCTTAATAAATGGATTTGTTAATACAAGTCAAGCTTTATGTGAATAAATTCTAGACGGCATATTAACTGAAGGTTTGTTGAATTTCTATTAAAAATTACAATTGGAAATGTAAAATGGGTTGAATTAATTACTGACCTAAAATAAGAATTACACAGAACTCAATAGTTATATATCTTAATAAATGTTCTAAGACTTTTAATTAGGATTACTTTATGCCAAATGGGCAAATCAACTTATGTCTAATTTGGCAAGAAGTGCTCTCTATACTGGAATTGATAATGTATATGATATTATTATTATAATTAGGAAGTTGTATTCAACTCTTATTTTGTTATTGTAATCAACATCTTGATAGTGTTGTTCTTGTTTGTTATTTGGGGAAGTGAGTATTCTAATTTAAAAAGAAACTCAAGATGGGTCAATGGATTTATTTTATTGATTCCTTCTTAATTAAGATCAGAGAATAAACATATAAATAGTTTCTTAAAAAATTAATTGAAAATTCAAGGATTAATGTATTTGTGAAATATAAGATAAATTATTCTATCTAAATATTATATATAATAGAGAATCAAACATAATATAAATAGTAATATAATTTAATTATCAAGACTATACTCAAAGAGCACTTGTGATATCTAAAGCTTTGACTTTTTTTCCATCCTTCCAAATTCCTTCCTTAACCATTCCATCAGGGAATAAGTATTTACCTTTGCCATGTTATTTTCCATCCTACCATTGCCCTTCATATTTCTTCCCATCAGCCCATGTGTATGTACCAAACCCATCCTTACGATCTTATTTGTATTCTCCATCATATTTTCTGCCGTCCTTCCAGGTATATATTCCTTTTCCATGCATACAATTATTCAACCATTAACCAGTATATCCCCTTCCATCAGCCCAAATATACGTGCCAAATCCTGTAATTTTATTATCATACCAATCCCCATCATAATAGGATCCATCTGGCCAATCATATTTTCCTTTCCCCTACTTCTTACCTTCAAAATAAACTCCTTAATACTTTGAGCCATCAAACCAAGTTTCTACTCCAGGACCATGTTATAAATCATTTTTCCAATCCCCTTCATATTTAGACCCATTAGCATGTGTATAAACCCCATATCCATTAGCTTTATCGTTTTCCCAATAACCATCGAAAGTGTCTCCATCAATATGATAAAACTTCCCTTTACCATTTGCGTGGCTTTACTTCCATTCTCCAACATATTTAGCACCGTCAGCCCAAGTTTGAGTTCCAATCCCTTCTCTCTGTGTACCTCTCCATTAGCCTTCATATACTGCTCCACTTTTAAATTTGTAAGCAGGCCGTGTTTCTAATTCAACAGAAGAAGAATTTTTAGGGAGAGTAACTGGTTCAACTTGTTCTTTTAGATAATTTTTTTTAGTATCTCGTTTGACAGAATTTTTTAAGGTTATCTTCTTTCTAACCAAATAACCTCTCCAAATTTTTTGAATCTTGATGGCTGCCTTATTTTGTTTTTATACTTTGTTTTAGAGTTCTTCTGTTTCAGTCTCCTTTTTGGCTTCTTTTTATTAAGTTTTAGCATAAGTTTGTTTAATGCTTTATTTAGAACTTGACTTTCTACTTTTCAAACTGTTTGGATCAGATTTTGCAATCTAAAATTAAAAGGAGTCATACAATAATTTCAGTTGCTACTTATTCCTTTAATTATTATTGGCATTAACACTGAGAAGCACATTAATTTCCCATGGAAAATATAAATTGATAAATTTAATATATATTAATAATGTGATTAGATATTTCTTCATCATGATAAGTAAACTTTCTTTACTTTAGTAATCTTTTCTTTATCAATTGGACACTGATCAATTTATTTTGAACAATCTTCACACACGCAAATGTGTCCACATGGCTTTATAATCATAGAGTATTCTTTTTACATACAAATCACACAAATCTTTTGGATTAGAGAGTCTTTGTAAGAAGCGATTTATCCAAGAGTATTAACTAATTGATTTTCTACCCTTCTTAAATCCTCAAAGTTTTACTGTTTAAGAATGTCTAGGTCCCCTTCATACAATTTTAATTGCAACTTCATCATTTCATTTTCTAAATGCAACTAACTAGCTTTATTTTATTCCAGCTATAATTGATATTGCAGAAGGATGCAATTTTATTAATGTTGAGCAATTGCTTATTGTCTGCTTTTCCTCTAATCCAACCATTACTTTGGTTTTGAATTTAAGTACTCTTTAAATAACCGAATCACTCTAAACAACTATTTTTGAGATAAGGATAGTTGATCTTGCAACGAATTTCCAATAATGTCTAAACATTAAGAATGAACTAGGTTTTAAATATCCTCATTTGTTTTGCAACTTAAAATCTCTTACAACAATAAATTATCTTCATTTTCAAACATTGATGGCAGAGTTCTTAAAAATGCAATCCAATAACTAAATTATTTTATAACATTTTTAATAAAGTTTATAAATTCTTAGAAATAACAAAGTTTGTTTTTGTAAGAAAGAATATTTTATTTATAGAACCTATTAAGAATTTTATTCTATGCATTCTTTGTTTATAACAGTTCAATTGAAATAGATAATAAAGATATTTGCTCTTTTACTTTTTTTGATTTTCCAATCAATAAAATGATACCCTTAAATTATGAACTATATATTATACTTAAGTTTCTCAACTGATAGATTCGCATAGAATAAATTATAATTGAACAGTTTTTACTATATGTGCTTAAAAATAAAATAATAGAAAAATGGTGTAAAGAGTCTTATAAAGTGTGTTCAACACCAAGATAGTAAAGGGAAACTTAGAAACAAATAAAGACGAACGTTGTGCATACTTTTAATTTATTAATTTTATTTTAAATAAATTCATATTATTCTTCAATAGAGTATGACAGAGGAACAATGTGATTATCTATTCAAGTTTATTATCATTGGCAATGGGAATTGTGGCAAAACAAGTCTACTATACCACTATATTCATGGAGCATGTAATTTATCCGATCAAATAAGAAATATGTAATGTAAGATAGACACTGGGTGTTGAATTTTCAGCTAAAATAGTATACGTGAATAAAAAAAAAATAAAGATGTAATTGTGGGATACAGCAGGTTAAGAGAGATATAGATCTTTGACTAAGGGTTATTATCGCGGAGCACTAGGAGCCTTAATTGTCTTTGACATTACTAAGTAATACATTCACAGTAATTTAGCTCAGAATCTTTTGATGCCTTGTAAGATTGGATCAAACATGCAAGAGACTTCTCAAAACCTTCAATTCAGATTATAATCATTGGAAACAAAGCAGATTTAGACAAGGAGAGGTAATTGTAATATTAAAAATGAGAACAATTTCAGAGTAAACTGCAAAATAGTTTTGTTAAGAGAATGATGTTCAATACATTGAAACTAGTGCGACTACTGGCTATTAGGTAAATGAGGCTTTTACGTAAATTACAACCAGAGTTTTGGATTTACTCTAAGAAGGAGCAATTGATGGAAATATGATCAAACCTAAATTTCTAACCTCTAAAAAGAGTGAGGAACCCTAACATACATAGCAATGCAATTGTTGACAACTTTTTTTGTTATTAATATCAGAAATTTGTCTAATCAAATATAACTAAAAATATATGGAGCAATGTTTAAATATTTCAAATTTTGCAATTAAAAAAAAAGGATAGGATGGGCTGTCTCTTCTTACATATAATTTTATATATATATATAATATATCATGACTGATATCCTACTCAGAGGTTTTCAACGTTTCCACCTTCATCTTCAAGTTCTGAGGTCCATAATGTTAAATTATCTCTGATGAGTTACATGATGGTTGTGGCATCCTTGTATTGGTCTTCTTAGATTTATTCAATGTCGGCGATAGCATCATCGAAAGCCTAGAGAGGATTAATTAAAACTATTACTGATTTAGCTAATTAGCAAGCCTTGGCGGCATCATTCAAAACTTCATAATAGAAAACGGAGAAGTTCAAAGCAAGTCCTAATCTGATTGGGTTTGTTGTCTTTAATTCGGAGTTAGCAACTTAAGAAGCAGCTTAATAAGCAGCAAGTGCACCATCAGCGGCTTTCTTGTGTTGATCACCGGTGGCGTATTCAGAAATGTATCTGTGATAATCTCCTTTCATCTTGTGGAAGAACACCTTGGCTTCTGGGGTGGAGGCTGTTTTGATTAAATGGCTATCGATCAAATTAAGGATATCATTGCAATATTGATTAAGCTCCTCTTCGATCTTCTTCTTGTAGCTTCTGATCAAAACAAGATTCTTTTAGGAAGCTGGTTAAGATTGAGCCTATGAATATAATTAATTTATATACCTTTCCTTCTTCTTTGTTTTCAATACTTGATAAAACTCTCCAAGCTGTTCTTCTTCCACCAATGCTGTTTTTATAAGCAACAGAGAGAAGGTTTCTTTCTTCGACTGACAATTCTTATCCATTCTCAACAACTTATTTGATGTAATTGACCATATCTTCAAATCTCTCGGTTTATTCTGTCAACTTTGTCATGTAGATGAGTTCCTCTCTTGTGCTCATTTTGGATATTTAAAATTTAAATTTTTTAATTATTTCTAGAAAATTAGAAGTCCCTTAAATATCATAATTCGCACTAAATCCAAAATTATTTAAATATATAATAAAAATACAATTATTGCATTTCAACGTCTATCTATACAATCCTTGACCTTAAATCATCCATGCTCATTGAATCATCATATGTCTGGCATATCCTGATATATATTTTATCGAATATTTTGTATAGTTTCTTCAAAATTAAAATAGATATTTTTTCTATTCCTTACATTCAGAGTCTATCAACATAAAAATTATATGTTGATCTCTCCTGAATTTCAAATGTTGTTATTGACCATATTTATACTTTAGGCAAACAATCTAAAACAAAATAAAATCATGAATTAATAAATATGGGTTTAAACACCTTTTTATTATTCAACACAATAGAATATGTATTTATGCTTATTTTAATTCTCATGAATTAAAAGAGAGATGTACAACTTGTTTATTTTGATAAATAAATTATTAAATTGGATTAATTTAATCGAAAACCTTTGATATATTATAAATCTAAAATAACAGAAACAACATTCTAATCAGATAAAATTAAATAAATAGTAATATCCAGAAGTATCTCATCCTGAAAGAAAGTAGATATAAAATTGCTCAAAGCTATGTAAGGATGAAAATATTTTTGTTTTTGTTATGGGATGTTGATTATGTTGTAAAAAATTAAGAACATGACTTTAATAAGGTGTATAAGGATCTAATAAATTGTAAATTGATTTGAATGTAATAAAAAGAAACGTAAATAAATAAAGAGGCATTAAATAATAAAAAGCTGATAAGAAAACACAAATTTTAGATAGAAAGAGAATATTTTTCAGACAAAAACCCCTTTGACTGGATAATTTGAATAAAGAATAGCTGAAAACAAGGGAAGAATTAAAGTTCAAGTTAGAATAGCAACTATTTGAAGGATTTTGTTTAAGTACAGTTCTATTTAAATTGCAAAGGATTCATCCAATGAAAATAAAAAAATTTAATTTGAACTCTTATAATGATATAAAAGAAAAATGGAAGATTAAAATTTTAAATAGAATAATAAAAGTTATATATTAATGAACTAAATTCAAAAAAGCCTAATATATGATATAAACCTAAGTATGAATCCTATTAGAAGGCAATTTATTCATAAAGGATGATTTTAATTTTTATTCTTTAGAATAGAATAATCCTTTTTTGAGGATTAATTCTTACTTATCAGATTAAAACATAAAATAACTTATTTATTTGATTAGCTTTTTAGATTAGTGATATAAACTACCTTAAATGAACTACAAAAACAATATCAATTGACAGTAAGAAATATNAGTCCCTTAAATATCATAATTCGCACTAAATCCAAAATTATTTAAATATATAATAAAAATACAATTATTGCATTTCAACGTCTATCTATACAATCCTTGACCTTAAATCATCCATGCTCATTGAATCATCATATGTCTGGCATATCCTGATATATATTTTATCGAATATTTTGTATAGTTTCTTCAAAATTAAAATAGATATTTTTTCTATTCCTTACATTCAGAGTCTATCAACATAAAAATTATATGTTGATCTCTCCTGAATTTCAAATGTTGTTATTGACCATATTTATACTTTAGGCAAACAATCTAAAACAAAATAAAATCATGAATTAATAAATATGGGTTTAAACACCTTTTTATTATTCAACACAATAGAATATGTATTTATGCTTATTTTAATTCTCATGAATTAAAAGAGAGATGTACAACTTGTTTATTTTGATAAATAAATTATTAAATTGGATTAATTTAATCGAAAACCTTTGATATATTATAAATCTAAAATAACAGAAACAACATTCTAATCAGATAAAATTAAATAAATAGTAATATCCAGAAGTATCTCATCCTGAAAGAAAGTAGATATAAAATTGCTCAAAGCTATGTAAGGATGAAAATATTTTTGTTTTTGTTATGGGATGTTGATTATGTTGTAAAAAATTAAGAACATGACTTTAATAAGGTGTATAAGGATCTAATAAATTGTAAATTGATTTGAATGTAATAAAAAGAAACGTAAATAAATAAAGAGGCATTAAATAATAAAAAGCTGATAAGAAAACACAAATTTTAGATAGAAAGAGAATATTTTTCAGACAAAAACCCCTTTGACTGGATAATTTGAATAAAGAATAGCTGAAAACAAGGGAAGAATTAAAGTTCAAGTTAGAATAGCAACTATTTGAAGGATTTTGTTTAAGTACAGTTCTATTTAAATTGCAAAGGATTCATCCAATGAAAATAAAAAAATTTAATTTGAACTCTTATAATGATATAAAAGAAAAATGGAAGATTAAAATTTTAAATAGAATAATAAAAGTTATATATTAATGAACTAAATTCAAAAAAGCCTAATATATGATATAAACCTAAGTATGAATCCTATTAGAAGGCAATTTATTCATAAAGGATGATTTTAATTTTTATTCTTTAGAATAGAATAATCCTTTTTTGAGGATTAATTCTTACTTATCAGATTAAAACATAAAATAACTTATTTATTTGATTAGCTTTTTAGATTAGTGATATAAACTACCTTAAATGAACTACAAAAACAATATCAATTGACAGTAAGAAATATAACATAATATTGTAAAAAATTTTATTCTTTTATCCGTAACTTTGATAATTTCGAATATAAATCTCATCGACAATGAAAATGGATCTTAGTCATATATTGCTTACATGATTTCATTAAATTAAATTACAAATTATAAATTTGATAATTATGAGAATTCATTAGAGAGTTTAGTCTAATTTCATTATATAATATTTATATTTCGAGAATTATAAGGAAGCAATTCGTTAATTATTTTAATAATAATAAGAAATGAGCGATTCTTCATGTTCTTCAGATACATGTTGTGATAGAGGCCTATTGAATTTAGGGGATTGTATCTGTGATTATGGATTTTTTGGTGATAATTGTGGAGAATAAATATCTGAAATTTTCACTCCCTAATACTATATTTTCATTGGCTTATATTGTTTGGTGTTTTTATACACATTATTAAATGCAAGTTATTAGCTTTATCATAAGATATTTGATAAAAACCTAACTATACAAGAGAAGTAAAAGTAAAATTGAAATAGATCTTAGATATCCATTAAGCTATTAATAGCATCTCCTAAAAACATAATTTTAACCTTATCCTGTTTGTTTAGCTTAGTAAAGTTGATATGGCTTATATTGGATCCCCTTTAGCTTTATGTAATTTATATAGATATAAAAGCAAGGAAAAACAATAATTATTAAGCATATTTTACATGATATTGCTTATACAATTTTATTCTACATTTATGGATATTTATTAATCACATGGTATTCAATGTATGCTGAAATATGTTTTTATTTATCTAATTAAGTACAAAATAATTAATTTCTAGGAAAAGAATGATAATTATTTTAAAAACGAAAGCAGTAAATGGATATGCTAACATTACAAGAAAGTGGTGAAATTGAGATTATTTTTAGTATTACTTGTTCAAACAGCAGTTAGCATATTTACAGGTATATTTTTATATATATATCCGATAGGATTAAGATTGGAGATATAATACCCTCATTTTGCTGTTGTTTGTTATTCTTTTCTCCTTATTAACTTTATTATCTTTATTTTTGAATTTGCTTTATATGGAATCAAGCTGTAAAGATGCATTCGACATTAGCTCAACTAATTTTATAATGAAAAAAGGAAAAAAATCCTTAATTTAGTGACCATGAAGGAAGAGTTATAAAGATAATTAGAGCAAAAGCAATCTGATGGATAATTTCAGTCTGTTAACTAGAATAGAAAATTTGAGAATTCTCCATCTCAAAAATCTTCAAGAAAACCAAGCGAAGACTTGCCCTAGGTTTTAGTACCAAATTAAAAGGAAAGACTTAGAAAAAAGAATGTGACATTTTGCAAAAACAGTTCAAGCTTTGTGTATTACAGATAAGAGAGTCATCATAATATTAAAATTAATCAAAACATCTAAGAAGTTATTGCAGAGTAAACAGAAAATTCTGAAAGGGAGGCTAACATATAGAACATAAATGAAAGTTGTTGTTTGGAGGAATCTATAAAATAAATTGATTGGACTAGTGATCAATAAGATAAAAAAATAATAGAAAATGTTATTTAGAAAAAAAATTAAGTTGTAAGAGATGCAAAGGAAAAAATTTAGAGTGATCAAGAGAGTTATTTTTTACATTAAAAATATAATAATAAAAAGCAAGTTGATTTAAGTAATTTGAGTGATCAAAGTTAAGATTAAACTTAATACACTTAAATAGGATAGTAAATTGATGCTTTTGAATAATAGAAATATTTAGAAGAATAATAATTAACTTTGAAGTCTAGCAGTTTAGAAGCTGATAAAAATATTCTATATAAAATAATGCTATTAGTATCTTTAGGAATTATATATGAAGTGATATTTGGAATTATGTGTATAATTGCTTTAGTTAGTGAAGCAATTTATTCAACCCCAATTGGAACTATTGTATATTTATATGTTTCTAGTACACTTTAGTTCTTATCATTATTTAACGTTTTAAAATTATTTAAGGACTTTCGATCTTAATAAATTAAGAATTTTATATGGATTTAAAAAATAGGAAATAAAAAGAGTGACTTAAATTAAAATTATTCATTTATAATACCTTAGGAATACAAATAAGATGATGATATGTTAAGAAAATTTGAAAGCAGAATAAATTTGATCACTTTATATTGATTTTTATTGATATAATTATTACTATTATAAATATTAATAAATAACAATAATTTAGAAAAATATAAAATTCAATTTTGCTTATATTTGGTGTCTTTAAAATAGTCTGCTCTAACTAATTTGATTAATTTCTAATTGATATTAATTAATATACTTCTCTTAATTCTTATTCTGTAATATCACTTCTTTCATATTAATCAAAATATGAGGTTAAGAAATCATCTTATGCAATAATAAATTCTTTTAATTGAATTTTTTCTTTTTCTGTTATGAATTTATTCTTAAACAATTCAGTTGTAAAATAAAGTTATTTAGCTGGCTATCTTTATAATTATTCCATTCTTTATTTTTTAATATTTATATTAACAATTATTTTTAATACATTTTTAATTGCAATTTATTTATGAAACCTTAGAATACTTCAAATATCAATTATATTAAAAATATTTACATATCTTTTATTTTGTTTCTGGATATTCTAGATAAGGTTGATAGTTTTGGAGATAACCTCTAAAGAAAAAAACATATAAATGGGTCAACTTTATGCAAAATAAAGGATTCTTAAGGAAATGCAATAGATATTAATTAAAAAATGCCATTTGACCTCTTAAATATCTAACATTATTAAAGAGGTCAAAAAAAATGTAATACATTTAGTGCTTTGAATAAAAAATATCATATATAATATATATTAAAAAATCTTCTATTATAATTTCCAAAATTTTGATAAAAAAAGGTAATTCGTCAACAACTTTAATTACTTAATAAATTACACATTATTTATCAGATGTATTAACTATAATTTCTTATTCTGTAATTATCCTTTATTCGTATTTTAAATTATAAATTACAGCATTGAAAGTCTACTAACAACTTTTAAAAAATGAATATTAGTTAGAATCTTAAAGTCTATTTTAAAATTGGCTTTTAATTCTTGTTTTTGGAAGGCATTTTAAATAAACTTAAACAGTCAAGAATTTATATATATTCTTAACTGAAAGTGTAAAATTTCCTTAAGTATTTATTTATTAATCAACTTCTAATAAATCAATCTCAATAGGAACTCTAAGATCTGATTCTGAATCTTTAATTTAACTGATTGAAATTTATGATAAAGGCATTGGCGGAGCTATCCTATTAGGATATATTAATACTATTAGTGCATATATTTTTGTAAAACACCCAATCACTTGAACAAAGAATACAATCAGTTTTTAAAGGGCCGATACATTGATCGCAACCTTTACAACATTTTGCAATATAGATATTAAATGCCCTTATTCCCCAATATGCTCTTGCAGTTATTCCATTCAAACTATTTGTCATTGTTATTTTACATTATGTTGATTAATGAGGTAAAGTAACTTTAATATTAAATATAATTTCAGTTCAATAGTGGATCCACAAGTAGAATATAAATTTGCAGATCTATTATCAGTTTAGTTAAAAAGTTAATCATCCACGAATAACTAAAAGTACTCATTATAATACCACCTTGTATCAATTATCCAAAATTAGAAATTTATTTACATTGTATAATGAGGACTCAAGTTTTGTATAATCTTTTCTAATTTATCACCTGGTGCTAAATTGAGGTATCCTCCAACAAGATCAAAACTTATACATTTAGACGTTGCAGGTTAGATTTTATCATTTTTCATCCATCCATCTAATTCAATTTATTCATGCCACAGTGATAAAATACCAATCCGTTAATAACAATTATTATAATCTTTTTCTGAACAATATAAGCAACCAGAAGGACATCTTACTATTGACTATGTAAAATCTCTAATTCCCCAACTTTCCTTAAATATAATTATATATTGTACATAATAGGGTGGCTCGTTCAGATTTGAAGTCATTGCGAACACTAAAGATTCTGAATTATGATTCATTGTAACTGTAACATTTTCAACTATCTCATTCCAACCACCTCCCCTTCCACATAATGCAATCCCCTCCCACCATTGATAATTTTTTTACCATAAAGTATCATCTACAATAGTATAGACGAATTCATCATCCCAACCATCAATTCTACTTTTAATTTTATAAATACTTCCAAAATTCTAATGTAACTTTGATTTGATAATGAGGAGGTAAGGAAAATTGCTTAGATATTATTGCATTGGTTCCAAATACGTTAAATCCTCCAAACAATCTAATTCCAATGCAAGCTGAGAATAAAATTCCATTAAAATTACTACTTACAATCCAGCCTAAATAATTAAATATGAAAATAACCTGATGCATCCATTGTATACTCGTCTTAAAAGCTTTGATATATAGTGTCCCACTGCTCTTATTAGTTAGCTAAGCATAATAAAAATAACATATATGTATTTAATTTTATCATTTTTAATTTAATTTTCGCATTTTCTTTTGTTTTTGGTCCCTAATTTAAAAAAGTATAAATTTTCTAGTAAGATATGGTCATCACTATATTTATGGTATAAACAATAACACTTAGCTTTGTTATTTTCATAATTTATTTATAATTAAAATGTGTTAATCTGATTATTTTAATTAACATGATATATAATATATTATTTATCTAAACAAGATTAATAATATCTCTAATATTTTTTGAAATAAATTTGCAGCTATGAGATTTATTTATTTCTGTTTAATTCAAAAAGTAAATATTAAAGTCAACAAAAAGTAGAAAAAATCTTAACAGTTAATAGATCTATTCTACTTTCTCCTCGAGATCTTTGAAATCTTTTTTGCCTATAGCTTAACCAACTAAACATAATCTATATAAATCAATACTTTATGCATTTTATAGAGCATTAATTATTTGTGTTTTATCATTTTTAAATAATTCATTTAAATTTTAGATATCTATTAGTAAGTGATAAATTTCTTCCATTTGTAACTAATACTGTTATCTTAATGTTAATATTCTATTCTAGTTTTTGAATTCGATGGCCACCGCCTTACTTAAAATAATATTGAGGTCAAATAATAAGAAGATTTACATTCCTCAATAATTTACATAATTATTCGTGTTTAGTCAAATTTGATTCACTGTTTTAATAATCTCCCGTGGCAAATATTTACAGCTAATTCTCCTTTTATTCCAAAGAGACTCTCCTTTATGCATGATCATCAATACTCCTAATCTTATCTTTTTACTTTTGGCCTAAAGAAGTACGTCTCGCTGATCTTTTAATTCCTACTAACCATGCTTTGTAATTAGAATAGAAGACCTTTAACTAAAATAATAGCAACAGTCTCACCCTTCAGATTCATATACATATAATAAATATCAAACTAAGGATTCAAATATCAAATATTAAAGTATATACCTCACAAAAAGAAGTATACATCAGGATATTCTTGATTCTTTTCCATCATAAATTTAAGTTGAATCAATAAAAACCGATATACATCTGCAAAACCTTCTCAAATTACTAATTTTCAGTTCACCTATGATTCAATTTTTCACTTCTAGCGTTTATTCTTAAGATTGTTAAAATAATTGTTTATTGCTGCATATTTAACCGTTTTTTAATATTTTTCAATATATATTAGATAGGTTTGAAGCATTATACTATTTCCATCTCAATCAAATTTTGAATTTGAATTGGAAAAACATAAAACTATAAAATTAGATCTCCTACTTTCAAATCAATCAAATCTTGTAGCAATTTTTATTTATTATTGGCCAATTTAAGTTAGGAACAAAGCAACATTTTGAATTAAAATTAAAAAAAATTCCATTTAAATTAGGGAAAGTTTTTATTTTATAAATAAAGATTAGTTACGATTTTAAATATATAATCAAAATATTAAATTGAATACTCAAACATCCTATTATAAAATTTGTATAAGTTTAATTTGAAGTAATTCGCTTCCAACATTTACTACTTAATAAATTGAACATTCAGTATCAGATGTGTTTATTATCAGTTTTTAGTTTGTAACTGTCATTTATTGAAATCTAGCATTATAGATTATAGAATTGATGGCTCCATAACAATAATGTTAAAATTAATATTAATTTTAAGATTAGCATTCGATANCTATTCTACTTTCTCCTCGAGATCTTTGAAATCTTTTTTGCCTATAGCTTAACCAACTAAACATAATCTATATAAATCAATACTTTATGCATTTTATAGAGCATTAATTATTTGTGTTTTATCATTTTTAAATAATTCATTTAAATTTTAGATATCTATTAGTAAGTGATAAATTTCTTCCATTTGTAACTAATACTGTTATCTTAATGTTAATATTCTATTCTAGTTTTTGAATTCGATGGCCACCGCCTTACTTAAAATAATATTGAGGTCAAATAATAAGAAGATTTACATTCCTCAATAATTTACATAATTATTCGTGTTTAGTCAAATTTGATTCACTGTTTTAATAATCTCCCGTGGCAAATATTTACAGCTAATTCTCCTTTTATTCCAAAGAGACTCTCCTTTATGCATGATCATCAATACTCCTAATCTTATCTTTTTACTTTTGGCCTAAAGAAGTACGTCTCGCTGATCTTTTAATTCCTACTAACCATGCTTTGTAATTAGAATAGAAGACCTTTAACTAAAATAATAGCAACAGTCTCACCCTTCAGATTCATATACATATAATAAATATCAAACTAAGGATTCAAATATCAAATATTAAAGTATATACCTCACAAAAAGAAGTATACATCAGGATATTCTTGATTCTTTTCCATCATAAATTTAAGTTGAATCAATAAAAACCGATATACATCTGCAAAACCTTCTCAAATTACTAATTTTCAGTTCACCTATGATTCAATTTTTCACTTCTAGCGTTTATTCTTAAGATTGTTAAAATAATTGTTTATTGCTGCATATTTAACCGTTTTTTAATATTTTTCAATATATATTAGATAGGTTTGAAGCATTATACTATTTCCATCTCAATCAAATTTTGAATTTGAATTGGAAAAACATAAAACTATAAAATTAGATCTCCTACTTTCAAATCAATCAAATCTTGTAGCAATTTTTATTTATTATTGGCCAATTTAAGTTAGGAACAAAGCAACATTTTGAATTAAAATTAAAAAAAATTCCATTTAAATTAGGGAAAGTTTTTATTTTATAAATAAAGATTAGTTACGATTTTAAATATATAATCAAAATATTAAATTGAATACTCAAACATCCTATTATAAAATTTGTATAAGTTTAATTTGAAGTAATTCGCTTCCAACATTTACTACTTAATAAATTGAACATTCAGTATCAGATGTGTTTATTATCAGTTTTTAGTTTGTAACTGTCATTTATTGAAATCTAGCATTATAGATTATAGAATTGATGGCTCCATAACAATAATGTTAAAATTAATATTAATTTTAAGATTAGCATTCGATACACTTTATAAAATAGCTTTACATTTTTTTATTTGGATAACATTTTGCATAAACTCTAATATTCAAAATTGATAAATTATTATTAATTGTATATGTGAATGATCCTTAAGTAACTATTTATTAATTAGTTTCTAATAGATTGATTTCCATTGGAATTCTTTCATGTGACTTTAGATCTTTAATTTGAGTTATTCTGATGGTTGTACCCAACATTGGAGATGCTTTTGATACAATTAATCAATACGATAAATGCATAAGTTAGTATAAAAGACCCATCCACTTGAACAAACTGTACACTCTGTTTTTAAAAGACTTCGACATTAAGCGCAACCATCATAACAGTGTTTTGCAAGATATATATTTAATGCCCTTACTCCCCAATATGCATTTGTGGTTGCTACATTTTTATTGGTTTTCATAGTTATTTTGCATGATGATGATGTATGAGGTAAATTAACTACAATATTATATATACTTTCTAATCCAGTGGATCCACAAAGATTATATATACCTGTAGTTTTTAAAACGGTTTAATTCTAAATTTAATCATCTACCAATAACTAAAAGTTTTCATTATTCCAAGTATCAAATTTCCAAAGTTATAGAGTTATTTAAACTTAAAAATGAAAATGAAAGCTCAAATCTAAAGTTGTTTCTAATTGATCATTTGGTGCTAAATTTAGGTAGCCTCCAACAAAATTAAAATTTACACATTAAGATGTTGCAGGTTAGATATTATTATTTTTCATCCATCCTTCAAGTTCTATTGATTCATGCCACAATGATGTTAAATTATACCAATAATTACAATTATTATAATCACCATCTGAACAATATTAACATCCCGAAGGACATTTTACTAATTCCAACTTAAAATCTCTAATTCCCCAACTTTCCTCTAATATTAATTATTTCTTACTGTGTCGGCAGCCTCATTAAGATTTGTGGTGATTATTATCATTAATGTTTCTGAACTATGATTCATTTAAAATGTAATAGGTTCTATTACCTCATACCATGCTTTGTTCCATCCCCCTCCACATTTTTCGGTCCCAGTATCCCAATGATAATATTTTTTCTATAGTGCATCATCCACTACAATATAAAACCATTCATCATCCCAACTATCAATTCTACTTTTGATATTATAAATACTTCCAAAATTCTAGTGTAACTCTGATTTGATAATGAGGAGGTAAGAAGAATTGCTTAGATATTATTGTAGTGTTTCCAAATACGTTAAATCCTCCAAACAACGTAGAGCCATTGCAAACGGAAAAAAGCAATCCATTAAAATTATTACTCACAATCCAGCCTAAATATATTAATATGTAAATAACCTGATGTATCCATTGTGCTAGCGTCTTGAAAGCTCTGATATATAGTATCCCACTATTCATCAGCGTTAGCTAGACATATTAAGATTACAATAGCTATATTGAATTTCATCAACTTTTATATAATTATCAAATATTAAAAATGCTGAATACGTGCTTGTGTTAATATCAAATGCTCTTGATATATGCTTTATTAACAATTTTTCATGGGATAATAAAGATTATCACTCTAATTTTTTTATTTCCTTTAAGATTCATGAATACGATAGGTTGATATAAAAATTTAATTAAATGATAAATCAATTAAAATTTATAATTAGATTTAACGCCAATAATCATAGGCAATAATCTATTTTGATGATAGAAGTAAAATTAAAGTTAGGAAATTAATTATTTCAAGTTATTTCAAAGTAATTCTTATAAAATGATAAAAAGAAAGAATATTACTCACATTTTTCTTTGAAATGATAAATCAAATAATATTTATAAACAGGTTAAAACGCAATGAATTAACTTTACTTTTTAAATGGCTGAAATATAGTAATGTTCAAAGATTTATACATTTGGTATTAATTCAAAATGGCTAATATATAATTTAAACAATTTTAAAAGATATATTATACTTTCGAGATCTTCGAAGGCTTTTAGACTTATAGCTTTACAAACTAGACATAATCCACAAAAAAAACGAAATTATGAATATAATTTTCACACGCTCTTCCATCATAAAACAAACTTTATCAATGGTTAGATTTTGAATTTATTTACAGATATACTAGGCTCTTTGTAAGACCAATTCTCCTTAAAATCCATTTACAAAATTTTCCTATTTATTATTCTGATGCTTAATTATCAGAACTATGAATAATGGTAATTTATAATTACATGATCAATTCAGTTTTAAATAGAGTTAAAATTTAGATGTAAAGAAAGAATAAGAAACCTATAAAGCGGATAATGAACAATTGGTATGATAATTATTAATAAAGCAGAAAGAACAATAACTTGAAACCAGAAATTTTATACTTATTTATCTTCCAGATAATTCATTGGTTGAATATTTTAATTATGATGGCACTTAGAATATCAAATCCTTTTATAGACTCGTTTTTATCTGTTGAGACAAAAAAGAAAAAATTTCAGGAGTAATAAAATAACATAAAAATAGATTTATAACGTTTCTAGAAAATAATACATACACTCATCATATATACAATATAAAATGGATTAAGAATGTATATAATTCTTTGAAATTTATACTTAACTCCCTAATCTTTAAAATCAACTCTATTATATAGAATATTACAATCAATACTATTAGATTTAAAATTGAGAAAGAAATCAATGAGTTAAAGATAATTAATCTTATACAACTGAAAAACAATATAATAACAAAGAGAAGATGGTAACTAATGTTGAAATATATTATATTAATATATTTAAATTAATTATAATGGGTCAATCGTAAGCATAACCTATGAAAGCCTTATTCAATGTTGGAAGCGATAATGTATCCATTAAAGCATATTAAATAATAGGAATTTTAAGTGAAATTAACCCTATTCCTAGGTTAGGATTCCCCTTCAATTTTACCTATAGAAGCTAGGGAAATTATTAAGCATGAGAAATTCGCATAATTGTTAGAATTGCTGATTGAGAGAATGCAACATGAGAATAATAAAGTTGTTTAGAACACCTTAAAGAATTTAACAATTTTCATTCCAATATTATTCGCAGAAAATCATAAACTAATAACTTCTAACAACTCTAAAGTTGAGGTCGAAGTGATAAATAGAATTACAGTTGTGAAAGCTGATGAAGATATTGAACCTTTAGACGCTGCTAATTTAGCTGATCCAAGAATTTTTCGAATTATTGATAATCTAATGACCTTATTATTTCGTCCTGGCTTTACAATCTAAGGGAGAGATAAATTCAGTTTGGATAATGATCCTAGATTAAAATCATTGCTTAAGTAATGGCTAGATAAGGATATCAAATTGAAACTAGAAAATATTTGGAGAGGTCTAGCTACATTGACAAAATATCCTAATGATCAAAAACAATATTATGAAAACAGAGTCTTGGTCTTAAGTTGTCTACTGGCGTGTTTGGAGGAATAATTATATCAACAGAAGCCGAATTCGAGTGAATCATTATCATATTTAGCATTTGAAGACCATGCGGAAATGTTTGCCTCTCTTTGGGCAGTTATATTATTCCACAAACATGGGTACTTTTGGTTTTAAGATAACTTATTATATTAATAAAAAACTTGTAGATTTATGGCTATTCTGAGTGCACAAGTCTTAAATATCATTTTTTCTTTTGAATCTGATTAAAACAAATTTAGAAAAATTGTTATTGAAACTGACTTACTTGATTATTCATTTGATTTATTGATTGAAAATATGCAGCAATCCCTTATTTCTGATACTAATTTTATTACGACTAAAGCTCATGATAATAAGGGAGTCTAGGAGTTCATGGGGCTACTTTATTTTTTATTGACTAAAAATCAATTTGCAGAAGAATATTTGAAACATCTCTCAAGACAAAGAATTATCAATCTCCTTTAATTACTCTTGTATTACATTGCATAGTTCATGGATAATGAAGTTAATTATGAAGTTTACTGTATTTCATTAGAATTGCTAGATTATTTGTTCAATTTTGAAAATATAGCAAGGGTTTCGTAGGAGATAGTTGAAATCTAATACAGAGTTAAAGTATTACCTATAACTTATGGGACTTATTAAGATTACATTTTGAGTTATTACAGCCATCTTTTGCTTCTAGATTTCAGAAGTAGGACCAAATTTTATGTGGAGCGTTTCAAAAAGAAAAATCATCAATATGAGAATATGGGATATCTAATAAATTATAAGCCAGAATTATTATGTAGAACAATTTACAAAATGTCATACTATTCGAAGTAACTCTCTTTAGATGCATCGCTATTATTTGATGAGGCAATAAAAAAGTATTACCTCTATGAATTTTTGTTTTTAAGCACTACATAAATAGGCAATCAAGAATTATTGACATTGGCAATATTTAATTTTGTAAAGAATGGAAGTTGGGCAGTTTTGTATTATTTATTATAGAATTGCGAACAAATTGTTAAATTTTAGGTGACGGACAAAAAGTTATTTAAGTTCTTCTAGTGTTGTGATGAAGTTGAATAAGGATTATAGGGCAATCAAATAAATAAGTAAGAATAATAAGAAAGTATAAAATTTTATTCTATTATTAGGATTTCAGAAATACTTAGAAATATGGAAGGATATTAAGGGGAGATTCTAGGGTGTTCATATTTAATAGTTAAAATAAATAATTGGGGTAGCCTTTTAATTATTGAATTCAGTTAGCAAAATAATTTATGCAATCAGTAAAGAGGAATTTTAAGACTTATATAAAAAAACTAGTTGGTCATTCATTTTAGACTTTTAAGTTGAACTTGAAAAACGATAATTTCGTTTGGACATCTATGCTTTTAGTCAGTACAAACAGCAGCTTGAATATATGCCATTAATTGATTTAGAAAAATGCATTTTTATTTGATAATATTAATTTCATAATTTTTATAATCCTGATTCTCTTATTTATCTTATTTTAGTGATATCTAATCTAAATATTAATCATGAAACTTTTAATAGCATCCTCATAACTTTATAAACGCATGCCTCAATCATGCTTGATACAGTAAATACACCTTCAATAACAGCACATATTTGGACTTAGAAATGCAAAGTGTCCTCTTTTGTTTACCAATAAGTGACAGTTTTTGGAGTAATGTCTTATCTAAATAAAGGTTAATAATACCTGAATTGAACATTACCATAATTATTTGATCTCACTTCGTTGTGATTAGCTGAATACTAGTAAACTGAATATACTTATTTATTTAACAAAGTTTAATGAGTTGGAATGATGTTAATAAAGTGTTCATGTTATATTTAAAATGTTTAATTATCAATATGATTAACTAACCAATTCAACTTTTTAATTCAGTAAGTGCCAGTAAAACTATCTAATTAGCCTTGCTAAAACAAACTCTTGACTTTCTTAAGTGCATCTTAATCTCCAAAAGAAAATGATACAAATTTGTGAGAATAATCTAATGGCAGATTTAGATTGGCAACTGCCCCTATGTAAGAATAAGATTGATGAGGTCCAAATTATATCTTGCCTCTAACTCTATTAACCTTCAGATTTCCAACAACTTTAGAAATATGATTATTCTAAATGTCACAATCAATCAGTCATTTAGTTGACTATTTATTCAATATATAAATATTTATTTAATATTAATATGATTAGTTCTATAGTGTTTATTAATCATAAGGGAGAAATCCTTGTTTATAGAGTTTACAAGGATGACATAACAAGAAGTGAGACTACTCAATTTTGCGCTAAAATTGTGGCCACTAAAGAAAATAAAGAATGCCCAATTATCAATATTGATGGTAAGAAATAATATTTAAAAAACACAGGGACGTCATTTATCCATATTACTATAAAAGACATTGTAGTGTTAGCGACAACAAAAGTAAATGTAAATGTAGCTATGACCTTGCAATTTCTTTATTAATTAGTACAATGAAAATATTAAATCTAGGTTAAAGTGTGCAGAGCCTACTTTGGTGGTGAGTTTGATGAGAATTGTATAAAGAAACACTTTGTGCTTATCTATGAGCTACTGGATGAAGTGATGGATTATGGTGTTCCGTAAATAGCGGATGCAGATCTTTTGAAAAAAGTATCTAACTATTCCTAGAATTTAATAGTACATTTAAGAAGGAGGATTAAAGCCAGAGTTGATGAATGATGTGGAGAAATTGAAATAATTAACGTCCTAAGCAACAGGAGCCACTTCTTGGAGACCACAAAATATTGTATATAGAAAGAACGAAGTGTATTTAGATGTCATAGAGAGTGTGAATGTGTTGATGTCAGTAAAGGGGACAATCCTGAAGGCTGATGTGGCTGGATCGATTCAGATGAAATGCTTATTGTCTGGAATGCCAGAATGCAAATTTGGAATGAACGATAAATTGCTAATGTAGAGAGAGCCACGTAAACCTGGTCAAACAACAACTGATAAAGGCATAACTATTGATGATCTCAAATTTCATCAATGTGTTAAATTACCAAAATTTGATAAGGAAAGAGCAATAACATTTATTCCTCCTGATGGCCAATTTGAGTTGATGACCTATAGGATCACTGAAAATATTAATTTACCTTTCAAAATCATGCCAGTGTACAATGAATTAGGGAAGAACAAATTAGAAATTAGAGTCAAAGTATCATTGTTTATGAATATTCAAGATTAAATCAATTTTTGAAAAGAATCTATTTGGTACAAATCTAGCTATTAAAATTCCAGTGCCCAAGAACACAGCAAATGTTAGTACCAATTCTGCAATTGGAAAAGCCAAGCATGAGCCAGAATAATAAGGAGTGATTTGGAGGATTAAGAAATACCCTGGAGATTTCGAAGCTTTATTACGTTGCGAAATTGACTTAGGATCAACAACAAATCAATAACCTTGGATCAAACCACCCATTTCAATAGAGTTTTAAGTGCCTATGTTCACAGCAAGTGGATTAAGAGTAAGATTCTTAAGAGTTTATGAAAAATCTGGATACAAACCAACCAAATGGATTAGATACATCACAAAGGCTGGAGAGTATTTACATAGATTGTGATAATACAATAATCGAAAATATATATTTATCAATTATCGTGATGTGTCTTGTATCTTATGTTGCGAGCCTTGCTTTAATATTTCAAAGTTTGATAGGATTGATAGATTTTGTGAGCTTGTTTAATATTGGGAGTATGAGGCCTCTATTTGATCTGTAACTGTTTCTTAGGTTCTGCCAATCTATCTTATTATTTGGATGGACAAGCACTGCTAATTCTCAGTGGACCTGTCTATTGGTAATTTCTGAGTTGTCTTTGAAATTAGATGTCGACATTATCCCACCAATTACAGGGATTGCATTAGCCACCATCATTGACTATGACAAAGTAATCTCTTCCAGTTCCATCTCCCCAATACTTGGTAGTCTTTATGGGGATCTGGGGAGGTAGATTACCTGAACGTCTCAAAGTGCTGTTTGATTTAGTTAGATAATGCATCTTCTCAAATTCATGAGTTGGTTGAGGAGCTATTTGAGATTGCAGAGTCTGATTCATTTATCCACCGTTAAACTTGCTTATATAGGAATCCCTGCAATTCAGTCATGTTACATACCTTCCTGTGCCATCATTATGATAGTTGTTCACTTTGGGCTACAATCGACAATATGCTTAGCGAGCTGCCATTATAATAATTAATTAATCATTTCTACAATTCTCTTAATAAATGTGCTAAATAGATCAATGGGTTGAATTCTAGAGCCTCTCTTCGCTCCTTCATTTACTATTTCAAATGTTGCAACTCCTGCTTATCTGGTGCTTCCTCGTCCTCTTGATCCTCTTATATCTTATTCAGAGCGAGATTTATTTCCTTCTTCATTTCCTGAGGACTCAGATCGTCGATAGAGATTCCTGTAGGAGCTTGTATGTGGTTGTTGATTGGGAAAATTGAATCTTCGTTTTTAATCAGCTATTAGCTCATCCCTAAGAAATCGTCATTCTCAGCAGAACCCTGAGACGAAGATTCGTATGCTGAGCCCAACTCGTTTTTCAATCTTTACTTCTCCACTTTCTTCTATTCGATCCGATCAAATATTTTTATTTTCTTCAATCTTTCTTAATGCTTTCTCACCTCCTCTGTCTTTACCACGTGATCTATCAGTTATACTAGAGCGGTATGCAATTTTGGATATACTCGATTTTCTAAGTATTCTATTTCCTGCATAGAACTAATTGAATTTGCTAACTACATTAATTAATTTTACTATTTTGTTATTCATTAAACTAATTACGTATTACATAAATAAATAATTTATTTTTTCATTTTATATTATACAATCTTGATATTTAAAATAAATTGACAATGTATGTTAGTTCATCGAGAATATCGTTTTTAATTTTAATTTAAAAATAATGAAATCCTCTTTGATAGCCTGTCTATTACTCAGTGTCTTGAGTGTCGAGATCACTATGAACGATGCAATAACAACTCAAGCACTAGAAAAATTGAAGGAATCTTCATGGGCCTCATTTATTGTTGAATTCGCCTAAGTTGAATTATCAACTGGTGGAGCCCTGTCTGAATTAGTAGAAACCATTAACCAATTGATCGACCAATTGCAAGAAGAACTCTAAGATATCCATGATACATACTAAAGAAGAACAGATGAACACAATCGGGATGCTACCAGACTTGAATAAGAAATCCAAGATGCAGCTAAAGGTAACCATACTATATATATATATCTTATATAGATATCTTTACTGGATAAGATTTCATTGACAATGTTCTCATCCCATAGAAGGAGAGGTTCCAATAATCATTGGCTTAATTGAAAATTAACATTGAAGAAAACAGAAGAATATTGGATGGAGAACATTTGAATAGAAAGAGATAACATGAACAATTCTTGTCTAATATTGCTGAATTAAATGAAGCCATTGGTGCAGTCGATGAATCACTGGGGTTATTGTCTTAAATCTCTAATCCATAACTAATTCAATTCAAGAGAGTTTAGACTAATTTAGACAGAATTCAAACATCCTTTTAGAATCGCTCCTCTTTTGCTCCAATCATAAAAGCTCTACTTGAACTAGCCACTGAATAAAATTTCACCGATTAAGGTTCAGTGTAATAAGTAATTATTATTATAATTTTAACCTATTTTTAGCTGGTCAAAATTTTCAATGAGTTAAGAGTGCAATTTGTCGATTCTCTTAATTAAGAAACAGCAGATGAGAGCCAAGCAGAGACTAAGTATGCTGAGAGAGTTGCTTAATTAGAAAAGGAATTTGCAGAGTTCTAAAGATCAGTTTTAATAAAAAATTCTGAATTGGCTGCCAATGAATGTATGTCCTTTTGTAGTATGTTTCTTAGAAAAATTCGGAGAAAGCATTGTTTATGTAGGACAACGAAAGGATGACAAAGAGACTCTTGAAGCTCAATTGTAAGCAGAAAATGATAATTATGCTGCTGAAACAGATTTGTACACAAGAACTGTTACTGAATATAACAAGGAGATTGAAATCAGTAAGCAAGCCTATGGTTTACTTACTTAACCAAGTTTCGAATCTTATGTTCGATCAACAGTTGGAATTTGATTAAAAAATATAGATAAATATATATATATTTTAATTCAAAGAAGATATTTCATCAAGTCTTTTGCAGCAATGGCAATAGATTTGTCTTCCTTCTGATACTTTTCCAAGACCTAAACTAAGATTTCTTTCTTTTCTATCTTAAATGGTTTCTATTCATTCAACACAACCACCCAATGCAATAATTTGATGATTCTCTTATTTAATTAAGGACATAGTAATGGTATTAATTAATTGAACAACTGCTACCTTATTTATGATAGTTTTCCTGGATAAAAATAGGTCAAATGCAACATATAAGTTAACAATGTCAATTGACATCCTGGGGTAGAAATATTAATGATTTGTTAAGCATATTAAAGAGTGAAATAAAATTGGTCTTAAAAAAATAAGAATTCTTGAGGGAAAGGCTGAGGAATCAAAGTATTATCTGGACTCACCACTACCTTATTATTCCCTCTTTGTAATTCATTTATTATTTTGCTTGTGATTGCTACCATAATGGAGGAGAGATCCTCAAAAGCCCATTCCTACTTCTATTTTGTAAATTACACAAATATTTGCAATGATTTATCTAAATGTTATCATTTCATATATACCTATGATTTGAAATTGTTTGAGATCTTCAATTGAACTACCCTCAACAATCTTCTGAATGATATTCAAAGTGTGGCCTGTGATATTATTACTATCTGGTTTGTACATATCTAATATAGCCTAGAGGACTTCATGTCTTTTAAAATGAGGGAGAAAGAGGGAATTGTAAGTTAGGAGAATGGATGCTAATTTGAGTGCATAAAATGGTAAGGGAGGTTATTCTTGGAATAATTCCTTTAGCAAAGGGAGGATGAGAGTAATTATGATATTATTCAATTCATTAGAGTAAGGCTTCAAGAAATTAGGGTAATCATAGATTCCCTCTTCCTGCAATAGAGCACTTAGTAGATCTATGATCAATTTCAAAAACATAAATTTAGTTTCAGTGCTCTATTGCTTAACCATGTAATCAATGCAATTTTTGAGCACTTGTTAAATGATTACTTATTGTTATTTAATCAAAATCTTTGAGTTAGTACACATCTTGGACATAATATTCAATAGGGTGGTTTGAATTTGAGTTTTATTCTTTGATAATGACAATAATTCTGTTAGGATTGGTAAATACTGAGAGGAAAATAAGGATTGTTGTAAGACTGGAGTTTGTGAGTATTGGAATAACACATTTAAATAGTTGCCATTAGTTTTCTTTGGAGAGTATTCCATCAATTACGAATCAGTCAATGATTGATTAATCTAAGTGATCATAATAGGAGTGCAATCACATAGTTATTGTACTAGATGTTACAAGCATTATTTTAAATAATCATTACTGTCTCTGAGTCCTTTATCTAGAATTTAATAAAATCTTAATTGTTCTTCAGATAGATTGATAAGAGTGACGATATTGAATTTAATCATCAACATCAGTGCAATAGCTGCCTTTCCTCTACTGACAGCATTACCGTGATCCAATAAATACACTAATCCTTTTATTAATTAAGCTATTATTTAATAAATTCATTCATACATTCCTCCATTAACAATTTGTTGACTGCATTCGAAGCCAATTACGATACATTATTGCTTGATGAATCTTGAGTGCTTACACTTTGCAGTAGATGAATATTGAATATGGTGATCATTGCTTATTACACTCTCTGCAGATTATCCAAAAATATCTAGGCTTATTAAAATGACATAAATACTTAGACTAAACTCTTTAATCCAAGACTCTGCATGAACACATCAACTTATTGATTATCCAACATCAGCAGATTAGCTAAGGTGATTGCACAACTAATTCTTAAACTATCGTTCTTGGTAGACAAAAAGCATTGTAGAATCATCAAAACTATTTCTGATTTTGCAAATCTCTATCCAATTGCTATTGATTAGGATGAGATGTTTTCAATGGTTTTGATACAATAGAATTTGACTAATTAGATTGTTTTACATTATTACCAATTTCATCTTCATTCTAAGACTTAATGACCTTAATCAATTGATTGTAGCTAACATTACTCATCTTCCAATAGGGATTCTAAGGATCCTCTTCCATTTGGGTGGCACCATAAAATAAATATTCACCAAAAGCTGCTGCTGCTTTTCTCCTAACATTACTTTATTCCTTTGAATTTAGTATTTCCACCATAGCCTCTGGTATTCCATGTTATGAAACCTCAGGTTCGATTACAGTAGCATGTCGAATCAACAATCCCAAAACACAACAAATTCGATATTTCAATTAAGTTAATTTGCTTACTGTTAATAATTTCAGCAATAATTGAACATACGCTGAGTTTATTAAACGATTTGCCGCATTGGATGTCTGGATAATTTATTCGAAATAATTTAGAATGTTCAATTATTCCTATTATTTGGATACTTGTAAAGAATTATAAATTTATTCGAAGTGGTATTCGATTTAATCTGTTTCGATATTTCTATTAACATCATCTGCATTTATATATTAAAAAGGTAATGATTCCTTTGCAAAAGTGGCATCAATTGATTTTTCAATTTCTCTATTGCCAATTATAGGTTTGACTGAATTATCAGAACTGTGAGTGAATAATTAATCAATAGGAGTCAATTAATCATTTTCATTTGCCTTCTTCTATTGAGGAGTGATTCCCCCTGGGATAGGTGACTAATTAAGAAGACTCTAAGTGGATGGATGCACTGAATCCTTTTTAATAGTGAATGGTTTCTATTGTAAATGCGGTGAATTGATAGAATTCAAATCTGATTAAACATTAGTTTAGAATTCCTCTGGCTGTCTATCAATGTCTTCATCTTCTTATTATTATTCTGATCCTATCAATATTTCTTGGTCTTTGTTCGTCAACTTGAAATCCTTCTCATTGCTGCTAGCCTATTTATGATATTGTTGTTATTGAGAACTACTGGGTACATCTTCCCTTAACATGTTCTTGTGGACATTCAAGGACAACCTTACAATGTCCACCTATTTATTATTCTATTGAACAGGAGTCACTCTGACAAGATTGTTTTTTTTACACCAAGTTTCAAAATGTGGTTGAGATGGCACATTCAAATATTAAATGTTAAGGAATTTACAAATTTTTTCCCATCCCCACCTTTTTAGAGGGTCTTTGTCTAGCAATCTAGAAACTAAATCATAAGAATTACCCCTTAATAAAATCCCAACATTGGACTTCTAATGGTTTCACTTCTGCATTCAAAATCAACTCAACCAACTCAGTAAAGCTGCTGCATTGAAATGGAGGTTATCCAATACACAATTCATATGCAATACATCCCAAAGCCCATAAATCACTTTAAAAACTGTACACACCACCCTCATGAAACAATTCTGGTGCCATGTAATAGGGCGATCCTCTTTTCGACATTTCAACATCTGGACCTATGGTGGCTGATATCATGTCCACCAAACGCTTTGCATTTCCCAAATCACTGAGCTTGGCTACTCCGTATTCATTGAATAACACATTCGATGGTCTCAAATCGCAATAGACTATATTTAATTTCAAATGACTCACTTATGCCCTTGGAATGCAAATAGTTTAATCCTGCAGCCATGTCCCTTACGAAACGCAACACTATGTTTTCTTGTAAGCCTTGTTAATCCGCTTCAATTAGTGCCATCAGATCGCCTCCTGGACAATACTCCAAAATCACCCAGAGATGATTACGCGTCTCATACCAATGGTAAAACTTCAATATGTTCGGGTGTTTAAGACCAGAGAACATTTTCACCTGATTCATTTAAATTAATTGATACTTCATTCAAAAGTTTTGTCCGTCTGCTCTTCTCCAATGATTTCACTGCCATATATTCAATAGTCTTCTTCTTTCTTCCCTTGTACACTACTGAATACTTGCCTTTTCCTATCTCATCGTAAATATGATAGTTATTCATAATTTTTAAATTTTGTTTTATTTTATTTTATGGGCAAGAAGAAATTCATCAACAAATAGAATGCAGCTACACTCAAAATGGTTCATTAACCAGGTGAAAACAACCAAGGAGCCACAGACATGATTTGTTTCCAAAAAGTTAATCAACCTGGCACTCAAAATGAATTGTACTCCCATCTAAATATTGTAGATCTGAACTCATTGAAAAAGAACTCAACAAAGGCAAGTATGATCCCAACCTTAAACCTCGAATGCCTGAAATCGATCCTACATAAGATGCCTTGCATTTGGTTGCTGGAAGAGAGGACCTTTGGATTCATCAATTGGCCAAATAAAAGGCCCTCTAAGCATTAAAACAGAAATAAGAGTAATTTCAGGATGTGGTCATGAAACACTATGATGAAAATGGATTGCCTATTGATGGGTATGATTACTCTTAGCATCTTGCTCCAGAGAGACGTAATAATTTCAATATATAATCTCTTAGCCTAAGGAGAAGTGGAGTGTGTTTTTGTGGTTCCTGAAGAAGAGAGATCCAAGGTTGTCTACGATATAGATTTCAAAAGAGAAGAATTAACACAAGAATAATAGGAGGTGTATGATCTATTGATGAAAGAAGATGATGATGATGAAAATAATTAAGAAAATTAAGAAGAATTAGATGATGATTTTGTTTCCAATTTAATACAACAAAATAAATAATAATCCTTTTAAGAGCAGAAAGTAGAATAGGTATAAAAAGTGGAGAAAGTAGCTGAATCACCGAAAAAATAAGTTAGATTTTAAGAGCAAGCAGAATCTGATAATGATGAAGATTATGAGGATGAAGAGGAAATGGAAATCACTTATGATAAAAATAAAATGAATTAGAAATCATAATAAAAATAATAATAATAATAATAACAATAGAAGTAATAAAAACAATCCAAATAATAATAAAGTGATTCTGATTCAGAATTAGAAATTGATTCTGATATGGAAAGAGAATTCGAAAGAGAGATGAATGCTTATGAAGCACCTGATGATGAAGATGATGAAGATTAATAAAATAAAGAGTTTGTTAATGATCAAATGCTTAATAAGGTTATAGATGACCATCTTAATACAATGACCAAAAAGTAATAAAAAAAGACCAAAAATTAACAAAAACAAAAAGATCAACCAGAAGAAACTGAATGTATTATATATTTCATAAATCAATTTAGAATAAAAAGAAAAAAGACTTGAGTATTTAAGAAATACAGATTATAATGAATACTTAAAATAGAAATTCCCGAATGCAGATTTCTCATAATTCCATCTTAAGAAGGAGATACCACCTCTCACTCCAGAAGAAGATATTGCATTATAGAACTATCTCAATAGGGATTCAACTGATGAAGAATGTCCTGACATGGAACCTGCTGAAAAGTATTAAGAGACCATTGTTACGAAATCTCTTCATAATACTACCATGTCCAAAATGAATCCAGATTAATTGAACATCATTAAGTATAAAACAAAAGGGTAAGTCTAATCGACCAAAGAGGATAGGATGAAATAAAAGGAAGAAGAGAAGATTAAAATTAAAGAATTAAAATAAGAGAAGGAGAAGGTCAAAGAAGCTGTTTGTGGTATGTATACTAGTAATATTTTAGAAACTCTGAAGTAAGTTGTTATCAAAAAAGAAGAAACACCTGAAGAAAAGAAACAGAGAAAAGAATTAGTCAAATAATTGAAATAAGCTTAAAAAGAGAAAAAAAAAGCATTCAAAGAACAACTACAGACTATGTCAAAAAAACTATAAAAATAAAAATTGGCTAATATCCAAAGCAACTAAGCCGAAGGTGTTTCGATTGTTAAAATTGCATGATTGTTATATTTTTTTCATATAATCTAACCACATTTTTATTAATACTTTATTTATTAGTTATATTTTAAAATATGAATACTGTTATTGAATAAAATAAATTACAGAACTTGGCTAAATACATTAATCAAGAGGAAAAGAAGTTCCAAAAACATTTAGAAAAAACAGAGAAAACAAATTAATAAAGAATTGACCTTGAAGAAGAAATACATAAAACTCAATTAGAGATCATAAGTATAATATACAATACTATTATGAGAGCAAAACCACTTAAAAGAGAAGGCAGAGAAGCTTCAAAAGGATTACCCTTAATTAATCGAGGATAAATAATATGAGCTTATTAATCTCCAGAAAGATTTAGCATTGGCCACTGCAGCCAAGAAAGTATATTGATTATGAAACTTAGGCAGCATAATAAGAATACGATATTTAAATTAAACATCTATAGTAACAAGTTGCAGAATTGAAAAGAGAAAAACAAGACTTAAAAAGAGAAAACTTAGGAAAATAAGAAAAATAAACAGCCTTGCGTGGTGACTTATAAAAGTTTGGAAAAGCTTTATAGAGCAGAGAAAAGCCTCCTGTTGAATATAAAGTCTACAGTTCTTCTGGTGGGTTTGGTCCTCTTTATTAACCGCAAGAATAATAGCAATAACATATATTTTATTGATATATATTTGATTGATTACTTATTTAAATTTAATTATATTGTAAAGTGTCTTTAAATATATAGTATATTTAAAAGACCTCTCTATCAACAATGACAAACTAAGGCATTTAAAGAGCAGTTTTTTAAATTAAAAACATATCTATATTAAAGGAAAGAATAACTTTGAAATGTATATTACAATATTACAAGTACTAAATTCCTACTTCAATTTTTTGAAACTATAGATCCAATAATTAATGGTCAATGATATTTAATGAAGAAGGCTTAAAATAATATATTTCAGTCTCATTGAGATTCTTAAATATTTTTATAAATCCTAAGAATAGCTGAACACTTAATTACATAAGTTCAATAGAGAAGACTATAACTTTTGGGATATTGAAGAAGTATAACTTATCATCAATTATAAGTTAAGGAGGTAGCCAAGTTAATAGGGAAAATGGTAGAGTGATATCCAATTGCTATTTCTATCGAAAAGTATTATTGTGACAAAATAAATAATCAAAGATATCAACACTGATTTATTACATATATAAGATCTAAATAGATATTTAATTGTCCTATCGAGCCTTAGAATTCTCAAAGTGATTAATAAAGAAAGATTATAAATTAGACAATTAAATATTATTCATTTTATAGTTATCACTTAGAAAAGGAATCGAGAGTGTTAATTACGCAAATCCTGTAGTGGTTGTTATTTCAAATTTCGGAAAGTAATGAAATTAGGCAGAATTTATGTTGAATTTTTATTTGTTCCATGAAAAAAAAAGACGTAATTTGCAATTATTGAAAACATCAAGTTGACTTATGCATAAGAACTAGATTCCTGGTTTCCCCAAATTTGATGCTTTTTAAATTCATAATTTAGTATATTTTTAGGTTTTATCAGATTCAAAAATTTGCAATAATGATTATAGAATTTCATAAACTTGTTATTTCTATCATCTGATATTATTTAAATTAATGAATTAACTTGCAGGTAACAACCCTGAATCAGACTAAGGTGCTATTGAAGTTGCCTTCCCAGGAGAATACAGAAATTTCGCTCCTATTGGAAGAGGTTCCTATGCAAAAGTGTATAGAGCAGAGACAGAAAAAGGAGAATTGGTGGCTATAAAGGTAGATAATTTAAAAATCTATATAGGTGATTGATTTGAGAAATATGCAAAAGGAGATCATACCTTATATGTAAAATGAGATGAAATTATTATCAGAGAGTGACAATAGAAATGTTATTAGATTGTTTAAGAGTAATCAAACTAGTTCCAAATTAATTTTGATTCTGGAGGTAATTAATAACTCAAATTTTAGTACTGTTACTTAGATGTTGAATTTATGGTGAAAAGATTTTATAAAGGAAAATTGCCAGATGAATTGGTTTTGATCATATTGAGATAGCTTGCAAATGGATTATCCTATTTGCATAGGAATAAAATTATTCACAGAGATCTGAAATTAGAAAACTTCGCTGTGTAATTGAGCTAAGAAGACTAGAATGCCTTATAGACAAGAAATGATACCAGTGTATTTGAAAGAGCAACCTATAAATTGATTGATTTAGGGTTGGCCAAGAAGCTAGGAGATCTTTAGAGTTAAACAAGCACTTGGGCAGGAACAGAACTAAATATGGGTATCTAACAACATAATAAATTAAGCTCCTGAAATTTTAAATGAACAAAAGTATTCATTCTAAGCCGATATGTACAGTCTTGGAGTCTGTCTATACTACATGTTAGTAGGTAAATATCCCTATTTCGATCCAACAAATAGAACTCCACTATAAGACTTAATTAAAAAGGAGAATGCCGATTTAAATTTGATTGCTAATCTTTAATTGAGAGAATTGATAAGAAAAATGCTTAAATATGATCCAAAACAAAGACTTACATTTTAAGAATTATATCAACATGAATTTTTCAAGTATAGAGAAGGGGATTTATCCAATCCAATTGATTTAGAACTAAATTAAAATTAAGTCATTTATTCTGGAAAAATAGAAGAATCCGTTTTAGAATATGAACAATAATAAAATAAAAGTCAAGTAATTCAAAAAGAGGATGAATATAACTCCCTAAATTAATAAAACTTGTATCAAGATGAATCTCACCAATTCGTATAACCTTAAGTACCACAATAAGATTAAGGATAATCAAATGAGTTTTCTGGTCCGGATATAAAGAACATTTTTCCATCCAGCAAGTTTGATCCTTAAAAAAAACAAAATGATCAAATCATGCAACTATACCATATAAGAAATTAATATATAGCAATTTTGAAATTGGCTGAATATCTTTAACAAATAATACCTTTAGTTAAAAGCTCTAAGCTTAATTTCATGACTATGGAATCAAAGTTTTCAATGTATATAGAATATCTAAAGATGGTTGCTAAATAATTATTCTTAAAGTTATAATAAAGATTCAATTTCTTTTAAGCAACTTTAGGCTCATATGATAGATTTTAGTTATTGAAAAAGTAAGTACAACAAGAAGATCAGCCAAAACTTCAAGAGGTTAAAGTTAGAGAAGGGGATGCTTAGGGATGGATGTCATGGGTAAACAAAACTGTATTGAAGAAAATTAATTGTGAACCTCATGATTCAGCCAACTTTAATTATTAATACTAACAAATCAATATTGAATTGTATAAAGAATTGCTTAAGATGTTGCAAGATACTTTTTATTAGTATTTGGACGATTCTGATCCTAAATTAAAAAGAATTAAATGTTTACTCTACTTATCCATGATAAATACTGCTAGATCTAGAGTGTTATTCTAAGTGGAACTTTAAAATGTAGATTATAAAGCAGAAGAACTCCTATTAACAAAGGCTCGTGATGAACCAGATATTCTTTCAGAAAAAGTAACTGCAATCTTAGCTTAATTTAGCTTATAATATAACTGAGATTTTATAATAATTAAGTTTGCACAAAGAATTTTATCAAATATTTTCTTTTTTTTCAATCCTTTTCCAATAGTGTTTATAATAAAATTATCTTAGATCAGTCTTTAATGAATATCCTACATTTAGGAATTCAATCAAAATTAGCTTATATTAGTTTTATGAGACATAATATTAAAATAAAAACATATTTTGCAAACAAATAATAGAAATGCTGAAATAGATACTATTAATATATATATTGTTAATCAATTATAAGCAATCTTCATCCTAATAATGTGATAAATATTGAACAAGAAGCATTGAAACAAGTTGTTAATATTAAAATATTTAACGTAGTCGAACTTTTTATAATTCATCTTACAATTAAGAATAGATAATAATGTATTCGGTGAAATATTAAAGCTAATAAGGGGAGAAACATAAGGAAATGAAATATAAGATGATAAGACACCAAAAATCTTAAGTGATCAAAGAAAGTTATAAATATATATGATATTTGTACTTTGTTTTAATTTTGAGATCTGAATTAATTCTAAGTTTTTGAAATTTAGTTATAGATATTTCATTATAATCTTTTTCAGATATTTTCTTTGAAAATTCTTCCTATTGAAGTTTAACTTCCTTTTATATCTATGTTCTCTTTATACAACGAGGATTTTCTAACTTCAAAATAGGTGGATTCCTTTAATAATTATAATTATTTAATACTTTAACATTTTTGAGATCTTATCCTCTTTTCTTGTGTGCATCAAACTCAGCTTGAAGCATCATTAAGTCTTCTTGAACTCGATGATAATCTTTATTTAAAATGGAGAACTTTTGTCTCCAAGTTTCGACCTCATTTTATAAGTAACTATTTCTTTCTTCCAAATTAGAAAGCTCAATATTATTATTTTGTTCAATTTATCTCATTTAAGAATCTAGCTCTCCTAATTGCATTTATTTTATTTTTAATTCTTCTAATAATTTCTCAAGCTTGAATCGTAACGAACTTTCTGATTCTATCTTGTTTTCTAATTCTTTTTATAAATTTTTAGCTTATAAATTAGTTTACTCATTCAGATATTTCAACTATTACTCTACACCTTATAGATGAGATATCTAATCCTATTAGAAATGATTTTTCTTATTTAATTCTTCCTCTAAAGACAGCTAATATTTAAGATCATTTTTTAAACTATCAATTTATTTAATATCTTCATCTATTTATTATTGCAACTCTGTTATTTTTGTTTCTTATTTCTAACTATTTAAAATACTATTTTCTTTGAATTTTTCAAATTATTCCTCCAATAGTAATATTTTTTTTTCGGATTGAGATAATTTTTCTTATTATTGACTTTCTAGGATTTTCAATTTTTCGATTTCAAAGCATTAGAGTAATATTTATTAAATTAATAANCTTTAATGAATATCCTACATTTAGGAATTCAATCAAAATTAGCTTATATTAGTTTTATGAGACATAATATTAAAATAAAAACATATTTTGCAAACAAATAATAGAAATGCTGAAATAGATACTATTAATATATATATTGTTAATCAATTATAAGCAATCTTCATCCTAATAATGTGATAAATATTGAACAAGAAGCATTGAAACAAGTTGTTAATATTAAAATATTTAACGTAGTCGAACTTTTTATAATTCATCTTACAATTAAGAATAGATAATAATGTATTCGGTGAAATATTAAAGCTAATAAGGGGAGAAACATAAGGAAATGAAATATAAGATGATAAGACACCAAAAATCTTAAGTGATCAAAGAAAGTTATAAATATATATGATATTTGTACTTTGTTTTAATTTTGAGATCTGAATTAATTCTAAGTTTTTGAAATTTAGTTATAGATATTTCATTATAATCTTTTTCAGATATTTTCTTTGAAAATTCTTCCTATTGAAGTTTAACTTCCTTTTATATCTATGTTCTCTTTATACAACGAGGATTTTCTAACTTCAAAATAGGTGGATTCCTTTAATAATTATAATTATTTAATACTTTAACATTTTTGAGATCTTATCCTCTTTTCTTGTGTGCATCAAACTCAGCTTGAAGCATCATTAAGTCTTCTTGAACTCGATGATAATCTTTATTTAAAATGGAGAACTTTTGTCTCCAAGTTTCGACCTCATTTTATAAGTAACTATTTCTTTCTTCCAAATTAGAAAGCTCAATATTATTATTTTGTTCAATTTATCTCATTTAAGAATCTAGCTCTCCTAATTGCATTTATTTTATTTTTAATTCTTCTAATAATTTCTCAAGCTTGAATCGTAACGAACTTTCTGATTCTATCTTGTTTTCTAATTCTTTTTATAAATTTTTAGCTTATAAATTAGTTTACTCATTCAGATATTTCAACTATTACTCTACACCTTATAGATGAGATATCTAATCCTATTAGAAATGATTTTTCTTATTTAATTCTTCCTCTAAAGACAGCTAATATTTAAGATCATTTTTTAAACTATCAATTTATTTAATATCTTCATCTATTTATTATTGCAACTCTGTTATTTTTGTTTCTTATTTCTAACTATTTAAAATACTATTTTCTTTGAATTTTTCAAATTATTCCTCCAATAGTAATATTTTTTTTTCGGATTGAGATAATTTTTCTTATTATTGACTTTCTAGGATTTTCAATTTTTCGATTTCAAAGCATTAGAGTAATATTTATTAAATTAATAATAATTTTTCTTCCTTCAAACTATCTTCGCATAATTGGTGATTATCATTTATCTATTATAATTTAGTAATTTATGATTGTAGATCTTTATTTTAAGTTAACAAATTATCTTACTCTTTTTTTAATTAATCAATTTATTCATTTAATTATTATTACACTACTTCAGTTTCTTATATTCTTTCTCTTATTTATGTATTTTGCTCTTCTATTTAACCCTCTTATTATTTAATTTCAGTTTCCAAAATTTAGTTCTTACTTTCAATATCAGATTTTTCTTGATTTAGCTTTGAAATCAGGTTTTATGATTACTTATTGATTTCTATTTATGATTCTAATTAGTTTTCTAGCTGTTAAATACTCTCTGACTTTAAATTTAAGTCATCTTTCAATTCAACATTTTCTATTTCATTCTAACTTAATTTTAGTTGTAAATTCTTATTCATTTCATCAAAATTATCTAGTTTAGATTTTGTTGTTTCTAATTGTTCAGACACTTAGTCTAAATTTGTTGTCTTTTCTTGTAATTACGAAATCAAACTTTGATTTTAATTCTTTAAATCATCTATTTCTTTTGTTTTATCTACAATTTCTTGTTATACTTATTCTAATTGATTAACCAAAGCTTCCCTTTCTTATTTTGTTAATTCATGTTCATTATCTTTGTTTGACAATAAATTTTCATGATGTTGAGTTTATTAAATCAATTGATTTTACAAATTTAAATTATTTTGATCATTAATAATTACTTGTTAATTTAATTAGAGATTTTGTTCTTTTTGTTCATTTAATTCTGTTTCAAGTTACTGAATCTTACTATTTAAATTTTCTCTTTCTTTTTAAATCGTATCTATTTATACATCCTACAATTATTCATTTTATTGAGATTAAGCTAATTTCTTTTCTAACAATTCTAAATTCTCTCTAAAGGTTTGCATCAAAGACTCCTTTTGAGCCAACATTTGTTAAGTCTATGAATCTTTTTGAGTTATCTCAAATTTAAGCTCATGGATTATATTATTTGAGAATAAGAGCTCTTATTCATAATTATTGGATTTCTATTATAATTCTGAGATTTATTGATTTCTTTCCTCAATTACATTTTATCCGACTTACAATTGCTTTTCATAATCGGAGACTCTAAATTTCAATTATGAAATGCCTTCATTTTTATCTTCAATTACAAATTGAAGTCTCTCGATCTCAGAACTCAATAGTGCAATTTTGTTTTCAAGTACTTCTTGCTATTTTAATTACGAGGATAAGAATCTGATTTAATCATCTTGATATTAGAACTATGACTTAAAAGTGTTAAGTTCTGAATTAAGATATGTCACCTCTTACTTATGGTTTTTCTAAGTTTCTTCTAAGAGTTTCCTCATACTCTCTATTTCCATGCTTGTGTTTACCCACACTTATTATTCGCTATCAAATTTCTCTACCTAGAGGTCTAGTTCATTTTAAAGCTCATTTACTCTTTGACTTAATTTGTTATTTTCTTGTGTCAATTAATCAATCAAAGTTTCCTACCATTAATAGATGACTTACATGTCCTTAACACTTTTTTTCTGTGCACAATTTCACAGTCCTAGTCTCTATTACAGGTCTATAGGTAGTAGTAGTGACAGTTGTTTTAGGTCTAGATTAATAGGTTGTAACCTTTGCCAATCGACCACAAGAATCATGACGTTTGTCTCTGGGAGGAGAATTGACGACTCTAGTTGTTGCAATGGTCTGAGTTTGAAAAAACTTGGGAGATTGAGGTCTCATTGTGAGGGAATTCGTTAAATTTAATAATAATTTTTAATACAGTTAAAATGGATTAAGATGAAATAATTAAATAAGTGGTTCATGTTTTTAATAAACTCTCTACAAACTAATAATAGCCTATTAGCAAAGAGACTTTATTAAAATTCTTGGATACTCAGTCAAATTAAGAATATGATAGGGGTCTTTTCGAATAAATGTATGAAAAAATAGTCCAAAAAGATTCTGGATAACTTACTGTATAGAAATTCATAAGAACTTTGATGGAGGCATTGAAATCATTAAAAAATAAGATTTCCACTATTTAAACATAAATATCTCAAAAAAAAAAGAATTTAGAGGATCATAAATCAACATTGCATTAATTATAGTCTCAAGAACAATTTAATTAATATAAAATATCCAGAGACAGCAGAATAAGAGTTACTATTCACGATGCAGATATTTAATTTCCTGGAAATAGTCCAATTGCTGTGATTTTGGGATGTGAAAATATAAGATACTCGACAAAAGCTGCAAGAAGAGAAAATCTTGTGTGGGAAGAGAAATTTGAATTTGATATCCAAACTGGCAAAGAGGAAATTTATATTGTTATTTTAGATAAAGAGTTGGCAGATAGAGAAGAAATAGGAGGATAAACAAAACTTAATTTAAAAGATTTTTATGATTAAAAATCGCATGAAATAACACTTGAATTAAAGGATAAATATAATGTAGTTAGATATTCAACTATTAGAGCTAGAGTACAATGGATACATTCTTAAGTATTTTGATATTTATGAAAGACAAAATATTGCAAAGAAGTCACTTAAGAATTACAGCAAAATATTAAAAGTCTAGAAGATGATGTGAAAGAATACAAGAATTATATTCATATGTTGTTCCTTCCTTTCGAAGAAAACTACTCAAAGTCATAAGGAGACCACTAGGAACTTAGTGATTACTCTACTAACTAACATACTCCTCAGAACCAATTAGAACATAATCCAGAAAGTCAATAATGGTTGAAATATGGATTCATATTAACACTTATTTACTCTTTTTTAGTGCTTTTTTCCTCTCTTTTTAAAACCGAATTTTTGGATGTAAAATACCATAACTATCTTAGTCAATTGTAATATTCTAAAGCCTAATTTATTATTTGGACAATGATAAATTCTCATTATAATTGCATATTAAAGTAATTACTTTGATGCTGGCATTCTCTCTTATCATTGATGTATTTTGGCTCATTATCTATACTACTCCTTGGACATCTAATGATGTATTATTTTTTTAAATTGAACATGGATTTCAAGTCTATGAAGTCATTATGTAGTATATATTATTCGGAATAAAAGTAATTTTAATTTTATTCATTAGATAACTTTAATATTTATATATGGCTATATTTATTATTCTGAGAGCATCATCTAAAATGATCCACCATAATATTCTGAATCATAAAGATAAAATAAAAAATTAGTTGACAATTCTCTTCAAGGAGACAATGAGAATTATCAGATTTAACAATGATTATGAATTTAATCCATTCATTATTTATAGAAAAAAAAGATAAATGAATACTCTTATTAATAAATAATAAAATTAAACAGTTCAACTTTCTAATTTACCTTCATCGTAATCTTTAAAGGGAACTTGATAAACATTTATTGAAGAATTTGATAAACGATCTCCATTTTTTTTATAATCTTGCTTTTTCTTTATCCTGTTTGCTAATCTCAAATAGAGGTTATTCTATTGCTTTAAAAATTCCTCCTGAACAGTGGAATCATTAGCTTCATTGTTTTTTTCAAACTATCCTACAATATTCTCGCAAGCTCTTTCATTTACTTTTTAAACTTCCTCTAATTCGTACAAATGAACCATCTTCTTTTATTTATAATTATCTATATGTATTATTGGAATATCTGATTGATTAGCCATTATAAGATTTTTTAATATATCATCTTAATCTTATTTACTTTTTCTTACTATCTATTATAGCAATTGATGTTGTTTATCCATAAAGTAATATGTAATTGGATCCATTTATGAATCATAATATGAAACTATTTCTCCATACATTTGAGTCATTTAAACCAACTAAATTCTTAATCACAATCGCATACTTACTTCATCCATGCATATATCCTCTTGGGTGGCTTTCTCTTCATATTTTAATAAAACACAATAAAACTGTTTTGCAAGCGGTCTCTTGAATGCTCTATCATCTATAGTTTTCATAGTATAAAAATTAATTTATAGAATATAATCAATTTTTACCCTTTATAATTTTAACACTTAAAATATGAAGTCCATATCACTTCTAAAAATATAGATCATTAAAGTTTTGTGGATTTAGAGTGTTCATTAAGCTGAATAACTAAATTTAAGAAAAACTCAATATATATGGTTTATAAATTCTCTTCTTTGTTAAATTCTCTCCTGAGATATCTCTTTGGAGGAAATATTAAAAAAAATCAATGAGTTTTTGTGAATCTTTATCGTGGTTACTCATAAAATTTGAAATAATAACGTTGTTTTTTTGCAATTTTTAAATTTTATTATGAAATATTTAGAAAAGTATGGAAATATTAGTATATGGGTTTGTCAGATGGTGTTGGAAGGATGTAAATAAGGAATCTAAAGGAGATTATTGAGTGGTTATTGCATGGATTGCTTAATATAAAAAATTGATTAAGAAATAATCGAGATTTGTAAAATATTTAAAAAAATAGATATTTATATTTGATTGCATGAGCAGAAAAGAATAAGACATCAAAAGATTGATTGCTTCACAAGTAAAAATGTTATTTAGATTTCTCTTTAGTGCCACGTTGGAACAAAACAACTTCATTTTGACATGAAGAGATATGTATCTCATAGAAGTGATAATGGTTCATACATTCTCAATTTAGAGGAAACCTGGTAACACATTAAGTTGGCTGCCAGAGTTATTGCTGCAATTGAATAACCTCAAGATGTTATGGTATGATAAACAAGAATAATTCAGGTTGTTTCATCAAGACCAATTGGTTAAAGAGCAGTCATTAAGTTTGCTCACTACACATTAGCCAGTTCAACAAGATCAGCAAGATGGACACCAGGTACATTGACAAATCAATCCAACAGTGCCAGTGGTAAATTCTAAGAACCATAATTGTTGATTGTCACAGACCCTCATTTGGTAAGAATATTTGAATTAATATATTTTATAGGATAGATAAGCCATTGTTGAAGCCTCATACGTTAACATTCCAGTCATTGCCTTATGCAACTCTGACACTCCATTATAATATGTTGACATTCCCATCCCAGTTGGAAACAGAGAAACCAAATCCATTTCAATGATCTATTGGTTGTTGGCTAGAGAAGTCAAAATATTAAGAGGAGAATTGAGATAAGGTATATATTTGTTAATATTAAATTATTTTAGATGAAGAATGGGATGTTTTGGTTGATTTGTTCTATCACAAGGAAATTACCAACGATTAATTGGGCATTACAGACAATTAAGTCAAATAAGAAGCTGAAGGTGAAGATCATGAACATTAAGCTGAAGGCGAAAAGGCAGATAAAGACTGGTGATAAAATATATTAATATTATGTAAAGTACATGTACAAGGAATGCGTTTAAATTTATTAAATTATATTATTATTTCTTTATGAGTAATACTTTTAAGTCTGCAGGCAATACTCTTGCCAAAGGAAATGATTTAGGTTAAACCAACCAAAGTTTCGGTGGCTCTCAAAATCCTGCCTCATTAAAGGGTAAATTGATGAGTTTGGAAGTATTAAATACATCAATTTAAGGAAACAATCAAAGGGATTCAAGATGAAATGAATTTTCACAAAAAAGAAGTTTAAATACTCAAATCAGAAAAAGATACCCTAGAATCTGTTTTGAGCATGAAAACTCAAGATGTCAAAAAGACTCTTACCAATGAGCTTATGAGAATTGAAGAAGAAATGAAAAGGTAAAGAGAATCTATTTCATTAGACACTTTGCACATCAGAAGGCTGAGAATTCAAGATTATAATAATAGATAACAGGATTAAAAGGAGAAAAGACTGCTCTCTAATAATAGTTATTAGGATTATAAAGAAGGATAGCTGAGTTAGAATTATAGGTTGGTTAAGAATAAGCATGAATAGTAATAAAGCCCTAAAATTTAATCATAATTAAATTTTGTTATCTTATATTCATTAGGGATTCACATTCCTTATTAATAAGTAAACCCTTCAAAATAAACATTCTGTTAAGAATCTGGAGTTTCAATTAAAGGCTATTGCAGGAATGCTGGAGCAAAGTTAGACAAATCCTCTAGATGTTGAATTCGAGGGACTATTGGAGGCTAGAGTTTTCTTTGTTCAACGAGTTACCAATCTATTCCACTGAAAAAATTGTGTTTTTTAATTTCTTGGATCCCAGTGGAACCCAATCGAAATCCAGGCTACATTACATAATCATTTATACGTCTTTTGTTAGCAGTCCCTTTAATAAAGATTAGGCTTAGAGAGAGAAGTTAGGTTTCATCTCTAATGGTTTTTCACATCTATTCTTTAACATTTCTCTTTTATTTTTTGAATAAAATGGTGGAGCACCACTCAGCATTTCATATATCAAAGCTCCATAACTATAGAAATCAACCACAAAGCTATGTCCTTTTTCTAATGGATAATTAAGAAAGAGAGATTACAATATAGAATTTCAGGTGCAACATATTCTGGAGTGCCACAAAACGAATAAGTCATTTCATTTCTCTCATATCCTAATTTAGACAATCCAAAATCTGTAAGAACTACATGTCCATCTTTATCTAGGAGTATGTTTTCTGGTTTTAAATCTCTGTAAATGATTTTTTATTAATGCAAGATGTCAAGTGCAATTAAAAGTTCAGCTGCATAAAATTGAGTCCATTCTTCGCTAAATTTTTGTCTTTTTCTGAGATGAAGAAACAACTCTCCGCCAATCATGAAATCCATAACCAAATAGAGTCTTGATGGACTTTAAAATGCGAAATGCAATTTTACAGAAAAGGGACTGTTTACAAGTGTCATTATTTTTCTCTCTTATAGTGCTTATTCCTGTTATTTCTTTTTTTGTAACAATTTTTTCCTTAAAATCTTCACTGCATACAATTATTGATCTGCGATTCTTCTAACAAGCAAGACTTTTCCAAATGAGCCTCTACCTATTACTTTTAAAAGTTCAAAATCGGAAAGAGTAAGTTAAGTTTTAGGATTTCCGTTTTCACCTTCCATTGGAATTTGAGTGGTTTCTCCAATCTTTTCGTCGACATCATCCTCGTCTAGAATTTCACTTGCAATGTCGGGTATTTTTGAATTATATTCCGCTTGTTTGTTTTAGCACATACCCATTTTAATAAATATATTTTATATTTTATGATAATCTTATTCCTGAATTCAACTCTTCATTAATAAATAAATTATGAAGATGATGTAATAAGCTTACATTATATATAATTAAATATTTAATGTTATTATTAAACTTTTATGATTAGAGTGAATTAGCATATTAAATAATTATATTTCATTCCTCAACTATAAAATTATTATTATTTTTATACAATCTGATGTTTTAGGATCCAAATGAGAAAGATATGATTGGCGATCTTCTTGATGGTATTTCAAATACTCAAGCTGTTTTAGATAGTTTTGAAGCGGAGAAAACAAAAAAATCATATTCCAACTAAAGACCCCCTGCATTAGAAATAAAATAATACTAAAAGGCTTCTCCTGTCTATCAACCCAAGGTTTATTCACCATAAGTTTAACATAAGGCTAAGTTGTTAATTTGCTTATTAAAGTTCATACGATTTAGATTTACGACTTACAAAGGTGCCTGTTTAACAAAGTGCTCCTAATTCAGCGTTGAAAGCCAAATCCTATGATTGCATGACCTAATTTATCCCAGAAGAAGAAACAAGTCTAGATGGAGATTTAGTAATCAAAAATTCATAATAAATAAGATATCAAAATGTAAAGATTAAAATGGTGCCAGAAGCATTTAAAAGCAATTCTAAGAAGGACCTGTTGCAATCAAAGATTTGATATTCAGTAGATTAGAAAAGGGGTTTGTATCTTTGTCAAAAGATGTCTTTGGTAATTATGTCATTCAAAACCTCCTTGAAAATGGTATTAATTTTACATAAAGGTAGGAACTCCCTTACAGCAATAAAAAATGCTTGTAATATTATAACCTCATACTCAATAACTTGCATTTCATCAATATGGATGTAGAGTCCTATAAAAGTTGTTATAAAATGCACATAAAACTGCAGAGTTTCAAGTGTTATTTGATTCAATAAAAGGGAAGGTGAGAGATTTAGTTATAGATCAACATGGAAACCACGTGGTTCAAAAGCTTATCCAGCTAATGGAAGGTGATGTTAGTCTTTGGGTTTTGGATGGAGTTGAAGGACAAATAAATAAATTGGTTACCAATTCTTTTGGATGCAGAATTATTTAAAAAGCAGTATCAATCTCAAACAATCACGCCGAAAGACAGA